CAGGGGCTACTCTTTGTTGTGGTGTGCGGGCTTCTCATTGCGGTGGTTTCTCTTGTTCCGGAGCACGGGCTCTAGGCACGCAGGCTTCAGTAGTTGTGGCACGCGAGCTCAGTAGTTGTGGCTCATGGGCTCTAGAGCACAGGCTCAGTAGTTGTGGTGCACGGGCTTAGTTGCTGTGGCATGTCCATTCTAAATGTCATAGTTTGCATCTACTAACCCCTAACTCCCAGTTCATCCCTCTCCCTCCCCCCCCACCCCCTAGGCAACCACAAATCTGTTCTCTGTTTGTGAGTCTGTTTTTGTCTTGTAGATAGATTCATTTGTGCCATATTTAATTTAATTTAATTTAATTTATTTGGCCACACCATGCGGCTTGTGGGATCTTAGTTCCCCGACCAGAGATTGAACCTGGGCCGTGGCAGTGAAAGTGCCAAGTCCTAACCACTGGACCACCCGGGAGTTCCCTGAATTATCTATTTTTTCTTGATTCAGTTTTGGTGGGCTGTATGTTTCTAGAAAGTTGTCCATTTCTTCTAGGTGGTCAAATTTGTTGGCAAATAATTTTTCATAGTGTTCTCTTATGGTTTTTTGTATTTCTGTGGTATCATTTGAGATTTCTCCTTTTTCCTTTCTTATTTTGTTTATTTGGGTTCTCTCTCTTTTTTTCTTGGTGAGCCTGGCCAGAGGTTTGTCAATGTTGTTTACCCTTTCAAAGAACCAACTCTTGGTTGTATTGATTTTTTTCTATTTTTTAATCTCTATTTTATTTATTTCCTCTCTGATCTTTATTATTTCCTTCCTTCTGCTGACTTTAGGTTTTGTTTGTTCTTCTTTTTCTAATACTTTTAGGTGGTAGGTTAGGTTGTTTATTTGAGGTTTTTCTTGTTTTTTTGAGGAAGGCCTGTATTGCTATAAACTTCCCTCTAAGAACTGCTTTTGCTGCATCCCGTAGATTTTGTATGGTTGTGCATTCATTGTCATTTGTCTCACGGTATTTTTAAATTTCTGTTTTGATTTCCTTACTGACTCATTGGTTTTTTAGTAGCATGTTGTTTAGTCTCCATGTAATTGTTTTTTTCTCATTTCTTTTCCTGTGGTTGATTTCTAGTTTCATGCCTTTGTAGTCAGAGAAGATGCTTGAAATAACTTCTATACTTTTAAATTTGTTGAGGTGAGTTGTTTTTTGTTTTTTTAAAATATTTATTTATTTATTTTTGACTGTGTTGGGTCTTTGCGGCCGCACCAAGGCTTTCTCCACTTGCAGTGAGCGGGGGCTACTATTTGCTGTGGTGCGTGGGCTTCTCATTGCAGTGGCTTCTCTTGTTGTGGAGCACAGGCTCTAGGGGTGTGGGCTGCAGTAGCTGTGGCATGGGGGCTCAGTAGTTGTGGCTCATGGGCTCTAGAGTGCAGGCTCAGTAGCTGTGGCACATGGGCTTAGTTGCTCCACGGCATGTGGGAATCTTCCTGGACTAGGGCTTGAACCCATGTCCCTTGCATTGACAGGCGGATTCGTAACCACTGCGCCACCAGGGAAGTCCCGAGGTGAGTTTTGTGCCCTAGTATGTGGTCAGTCCTAGAGAGTGTTCCATGTGCACTTGAAAAGAATGTGTATTCTGGGTTTTTTGGATGTAAAAACTGTCCTGAAAATATCAGTTAAGTCAAACTTGTTCTATTGTATCATTTAGGATCTCTGTTGCCTTATTGATTTTCTGTGTAGAAGATCTGTGCATTGATGTGAGTGGGGTGTTAAAGGCTCCTACTATAGGGCTTCCCTGGTGGTGCAGTGGTTGAGAGTCCGCCTGCCGATGCAGGGGACACGGGTTCATGCCCCGGTCCGGGAAGATCCCACGTGCCGCGGAGTGGCTGGGCCCATGAGCCATGGCCGCTGAGCCTGCGTGTCTGGAGCCTGTGCTCTGCAACGGGAGGGGCCACAACAGTGAGAGGCCCACGTATCGCAAAAAAAAACCCAAAAGTCTCCTACTATTATTGTATTCTCATCAATGTCTTCCTTTATGTCTGTTAATATTTGTTTTAAGTATTTGGGTGCTCCTATGTTAGGTACACATATGTTGACAAGTGTAAAATCCTCTTCTTGTATTGATCCTTTTATCATTATATAGTGTCCTTCTTTATCTTTCTTGATGGCCTTTGTTTTAAAGTCTGTTTTGTCTGATATGAGTATTGCAACTCCTGTTTTCTTGTCATTTCTGTTTGCATGAAACATCTTTTTCCATCCCCTCACTTTCAATCGATGTGTGTCCTTTGCCCTAAGGTGGGTCTCTTGTAGGCAGTGTATTGTTGGCCCTTGATTTTTAATCCAGTCTGCCACTCTGTGTCTTTCAATTGGAGCACTCAGCCCATTGACATTTAAGGTAATTATTCATACATATGTATTTATTGCCATTTTAAACCTTGTTTTCCAGTTGATTCTATGTTTCTTCTTTGTTCCTTTCTTTTTCCTTTAGTGGTTTGATGATTTCCTTTTCTTTTATGCTTGTGTTTTCTTCTTTTTGGTTTTGTGAATCTGTTTTATGTTTGTGATTTGTGGTTGCCCTGTTTTTCAAGTATGTTAACCCCTTCCTATATTTGCTTGCTTTAGACTGATAGTCATATAGGATCAGACACATTCTTAAAAAAAAAAAGCAATCTACATTTTCTTACTCTCCTTCCCCACATTTTGTGATTTTGATTTCCTTTTTTCCAACTTCACGTTTATCCTTTTGCCGTTCCTTGTGTTTATCGTCACTTTCACAAATAGGCTTTTTAAAAAAAATCTGTATATTGGCTTAAGTGATTTACTTTCCTACTGTGATTTCCTCCTTCCTATATCTTCTTGCTTCTTTTCTATTTAGAGAAGACCTCTCAATATTCCTTTTAGGATAGGTTTAGTATTGCTGTATTCTTTTAGTTTTTGCTTGTCTGAGAAATTCTTTATTTCTCCTCCTAAATGATAATCTTGCTGGGTAGAGTATTCTAGGTTGCAGATTTTTCCCTTTCAAGACTTTGAATGTACTTTGCCACTCCCTACTGGCCTGCAGTGTTTCTGTAGATAAACTAGCTGATAGCTTTATGAGGGTTCCCTTGTAATTAACTCTGTTTTTCTCTTGCTGCCTTTAGAATCCTCTCTCTAACTTTTGCCATTTTGTTTTGTTTTGTTTTGTTTTTTGTTTTGCGGTACGGGCCTCTCACTGTTGTGGTCTCTCCCGTCGTGGAGCACAGGTTCCGGACGCACAGGCTCAGCGGCCATGGCTCACGGGCCCAGCCACTCTGCGGCATGTGGGATCCTCCCGGACCGGGGCACGAACCCGTGTCCCCTGCATCGGCAGGCGGACTCTCAACCACTGCACCACCAGGGAAGCCCCAACTTTTGCCATTTTTATTATGATATGTCTTGGTGTAGCTCTGTTTGGGTTCATCTTGTTTGGGACCCTCTGTGCTTCCTATATCTGGATATCTGTTTCCTTCTTTAGGTTTGGGAAGTTTTCAGCCATAATTTCTTCAAATACATTTTCAATCCCCTTTTCTCTTTCTTCTTCTTCTGGAATTCCTATTATACATAGATTGGCATGCTGTATATTATCCCATAGGTCTCTTATATTGCTTTCTTCGTTTTTTTGTTGTTGTTGGCTTTCTGTCTGCTGTTTTGATTGGGTAATTTCCATTATTCTATCTTCCAAATCACTTACTCTTTCTTCTGCATTATTCATCCTGCTATTCTTTGCTTTTAGCTTAGCTTTCATCTCGGCAAATGAACTTTCTAATTTTTCTGGGCTCCACCTTATAGTTTTTAGTTCCTTTTTACAGTACTCTGCATTTCTGTGATAGCCTTTCTTAATTCCTTCAGTATTTTCATTACCTCCTTTTTGAACTTGGTGTCTGTTAGACTGAAGAGGTCTGTTTCATTGTTTGTTCTTTCAGGGGAATACTCTTGGTCTTTTAACTGGGAGTGCTTTCTCTCCTTCTTCATTTTGCTTATATTTCTTTTACTCTGTGAGTTTAGGTGGAAAATTATCTACCCTGGTCTTGGAGGGCTATTTATATGTGGCAGCGTCCCTGCATAGCTTGTGTGGATTTAATTTTTTTTTGGTGTGAGGGCTGTTTTTAGTTTGGATGCTTGCCATCTCTTTCCTCAGCATGTGCTCACTGTTATCCCCTTGATAGGGGGTGTGCAGGTGTACGGCCCGTGTGCGCTCCTGGGAAGGTGGGGGCAGCGGGTGGCACCTGGTTGAGGGATTCTTGGCAGCAGTGGCAGCAGGCCACGCACGCTCCCAGGAAGGTGGGGGCAGTGACCAGCGCCTGCTCACAGGACCCTCAGCGGCAGCAGCGGTCTGTGCCTGCTTCTAGAGTCCGAGATGGTAGTGGAGGCTCTCGCCTACCCCTGGGGCTCATGTAGGCAGTGCCCTGCCGCTGGCTAGTGTGTGAGCAGAGAAAGAAGCTCCTATGGCGGTCCCGCCCGTCTCCTTGTGTGCCACCCAGCAATGGCACCCTGCCTCTCTGGCGGGCCCAGGCCTTCTCCCATACGACACCCTAGTCCCCTCAGGCTGTCTCCACGCAGCCAACCCCAGTCCTCTCCCCGTGGAGTGACCTCTGAAGCCTGAGCCTCAGCTCCCAGCCCCCACCCGGCCCAGCGGACCAGCGTCTCAGGCTGGGGAGTGTCGGGCAGCAGCACTGACATTCGGTGCAGTTCTCTCTCCCTTCTACCCTCCACAGGCCGGTTGCTGCGCTCTCTTCTGAGGCTCTGAAGTTCCCCCTCCCATCCCGGCTGATCTCCCCACCAGTGAGGGGACTTCCAGTGTGTGGAAACCTTTCCTTTTTTTACTGGTCCTTCCCAGCGGCGCAGGTCCCATCCTGATTCCTTTCTCTCTTTATTTTTCTTTTTTCTTTTGTCCTCCCCAATTACATGGAGATTTTCTTGCCCTTTTGGAAGTCTGAGGTCTTCTGCCAGCATTCAGTAGATGTTTTGTGAGAATCGTTCCACATGTAGATATATTTTGATTTAAACATTTTGATATGTATTTTCTGTAATATCTTCCATAAGATGTTACGGAAAAACCCGAATGAACTTTTTGGCCAATCCCATATTTGTGGAGAAGGTGAACTCCACATCCTACTCCTCCAGTTTGATCCGATCTCAGCACATTTTTTTAAGAGGCTAGGGATGTTTCTAAACATCCTACAGTTCATGGGTCAGCCCTCCACGACAAAGAATCTGTCTGGCCTAAAATGTCAATACTGCTGACATTGAGAGACCTTGCTCTATGGTATTTCCCCCACAGAAACATGAAGAAAATGATGGGAACAATGTTGTATTTTGGTCTGAAAGGTTGGCTTAATCATTAGCTAAGTGACTTGCTCTCCTATTAAGGTTAATGTCAAATAGGTGGGATTCAAATTCATGCTTAGCAAAATTGCACATGACTTCATGACTCCATGACTTGGTATTTCAGGAATGCTTGAGAATTTTAAAGTCATGCATGCAAAAATCTGCTGTACTTTCTTTTCTGTGTGTGTAAGTAAATAACCTTCTTTCTCTCTCTTCTTTCTCTCTCTCAACACACAGTATTTAACACAGATAGAGTGCCCTGCACTGTATGCTCAACTGGTGCTCATTGCATTGTGAAGACTTTCCCAGACCAACTAGTTTCTCATTTAGAGAGGGTTAAAAATGACTGTCGTAGACTCAGAAGGATTAATATTCTAATAACTAAAGGAAGTTGTGCTGGATAGAAAGTGAAAATAAAAACAAATTAAGGTGAAAAACTTAGAATAAGACTGTCAAACATGCTAATTAATTGTGGAGGTGGGAGTATCTTCTCTGGAGGAATTGAGTAATTTTTAAGTCTAGTTGACTCTAACAGAATAAGTATCTTCAGCACAATTATGTATAACTTTGGTATCTCAAGACAGCAGATAGTTGGCACTCTTTATGCAGCTGTCTGAGCATTTTTCTGCAGGAAGAGACATGGTAGGGGGACCATCCCAAATGTAAAAGCTGAGGAGAAAACTTAAATCCCTCAAGGATCAGATTCCTTCTGCTATTGGAGAGGTGAAGTTTGAGAACTGCTAATCATATTTCTTTATACTTTTAATATGCAACAGCACAAAGAAAAATAATCAGAAAACAACAACCGATAGATCATTCAACTGATTTTCATCTAAGAATGATGCTTCCAAATTAGAGACAAGGTTATTTAAGAGGAGGAGGAGAGATACTATCAGTAAAGATTAATGAGAAGATTGGTTGTGGTGGTGTGGGTACCATGACAGCCCCTACTGCTGTGAAGAGGTTCAGTTTGGGGACTTAAGACAAATGCACTGGATCAAGTCTAATTTCATTTAGAGATTATATCGGTGGCCTAGTTTTGTTACAGTCCCATAGTTTTTGAAAATGTTCAAGTTTGGCAGCAGTTCAGACTAAATACTTAAAACATGTTTGTTTAATACATGTTTAATACAGAACTTAGTTTAAAAATAAACTCAATATTTCAGTTTAATTCAGGGCTTAGCAAATTCTTCAAGTATATTTGGTGTTATGGGACATAGTGTTTTGTTTTTTGAGATGCTATTTCAAGGGAATTCTGATTCTGGTTCCTGATTCAAACAGTTAGGTATGAACATTCTGTAGGCGGGACAGTCTCAGAATTAAAGCTATGTTGCAATCTTAGAAGAAATACTGGCCAGAGGTTTCCAAATTTGGTAAAAAAACAAACGAAAAAACATCGATGTACAGATCCAGAAAGGTCAACAACCCCTAACAGATAAATACTAAGAAAACTACCTGTAGACAAAATCATAGTCAATTTGCTGAAAACAAGAAAATCTTGAAAGCAACAAGACAAAAATTACATTTCTTACAGGGGAACAATGATATGAATGATAACTAACTAACTCACTGTCTGACAGTGGAGGCCAGAAGACAGTGGAGCATCTTTAATGTGCTCAAAGGGGGAAAAATAACTCCTGTTAACCCAGAATTTTTTATCTGTGAAAATATCTTTCAAAAATAAAGTTGAAGAGAAAAGCTAAGCAAATTATCACCATCAGGTATATACTACAAAAAAATGCTAAGGCAGATTCTTCAAACTGAAGAGAAATGATACCTGTTGGGAACTTAGATCTACAGAAAGGAGTGACTAGAAATGGTAAAGTACATGCATATATATAAAAGAAAGAATGTCTTTAAAAAATAGACCTAATTTTTTAGAACAGTTTTAGCTCTAACAGCAAAATTGAGCAGAAGGTACAGAAGTTTCCCGTATACCTCTCTTCCCCTATACATGCATAGCATCCCCATTATCAACATCCCCTACCACACTTCAGTGGTACGTTTTTTACAATTGATGAACTTCCACTGACACACTGTTATCACCCAAAGTCCATAGTTTACATTAGGATTCAGCTTGGTGGTGTAAGTTCTCTGGGTTTGGACAAATGTATAATGGCATGTATCTACCATTATAGTATCACACAGAGTCATTTCACTGCCCCCCAAGTCTTCTCCTCTACCTATTCATCCCTCCCCCCCAACAGTCTCCTGGCAATCAGTGATGTTTTCACCATTTCCATAGATTTTTGCCTTTTCCAGAATGTCATATAGTTGGAATCACATATTATGTAGCCTCTTCAGATTTGCTTCTTTCATTTAGTAATACGCATTTAAGTTTCCTTCATGTATTTTCATAGCTTGATAGTCATTTCTTTTTTCACTGAATGATATTCCATTGTGTGGATGTATGATAGTTTATTTCTCCATTCCCTTACTGAAGGATATTTTGGTTGCTTCCAAGTTTTGGCAATTATGAATAAAGCTGCTATAAACATTCATTTTGCAGATTTTTGTGTGACATAAGTTTTCCGCTCGTTTAGGTAAACGAAGGAGCATGATTGCTAGATCGTATGGTAAGAGCATGTTTACTTTTGCAATAAACTGCCAAACTGTCTTCCAAAGTGGCTGTATCATTTTGTATTCCCCGCAACAGTGAATGAGAGTTCCTGTTGCTCCACATCCTTGCCAGCATTTAGTGTTGTCAGTGTTCTGGATTTTGGCCATTCTAATAGGTGTGTAGCAGTATCTCGTTTTAATTTGCATTTCCTTGATGACATATAATGTGGAGTATCTTTTCATATGCTTATTTGCTATCCTTATATCATCTTTGGTGAGGTGTATGTTAAGGTCTTAGGCCATTTTTATTTATTTTTAAGTAAATTTATTTTTTTTCATTTTTGGCTGTGTTGGGTCTTCTTCGCTGTGCGCGGGCTTTCTCTAGTTGCGGCGAGCGGGAGCTACTCTTCATTGTGGTGCGCGGGCTTCTCATAGCAGTGGCTTCTCTTGTTACAGAGCATGGGCTCTAGTATGGGCTTCAGTAGTTGTGGCGCGCAGGCTCTAGAGCGCAGGCTCAGTAGTTGTGGCGCACAGGCTTCATTGCTCCGCAGCACATGGGATCTCCCCGGACCAGGGCTCGAACCCATGTCCCCTGCATTGGCAGGCAGATTCTTTTTTTTAAAGTGAAATGTGATTTATTTCAATGTTTTTTTAAATTTATTTTTTAATTTTTGGCTGTGTTGGGTCTTTGTTTCTGTGTGAGGGCTTTCTCTAGTTGTGGTGAGCGGGGGCCACTCTTCATTGCGGTGCGTGGGCCTCTCACTATCGTGGCCATTTTTGTTGCGGAGCACAGGCTCCAGACGCGCAGGCTCAGTAGTTGTGGCTCACGAGCCTAGTTGCTCTGTGGCATGTGGGATCTTCCCAGACCGGGGCTCGAACCCATGTCCCCTGCATTGCCAGGCAGATTCTCAACCACTGCGCCACCAGGGAAGCCCGGCAGGCGGATTCTTAACCACTGTGCCACCGGGGAAGCCCTTTAGCCCATTTTTATTTTTATTTTTATTTATTTATTTATTTTTGCAATACGCGGGCCTCTCCCTGCTGTGGCCTCTCCCGTTGCGGAGCACAGGCTCCGGACGTGCAGGCTCAGTGGCCTTGGCTCATGGGCCCAGCCACTTCGCGGCATGTGGGATCTTCCCGGACCGGAGCGCGAACCCGCGTCCCCTGCATCAGCAGGCGGACTCTTAACCACTGTGCCACCAGGGAAGCCCCTTTAGCCCATTTTTAAATCGGGTTTTTTATTGTTGAGTTTTAAGCTTAGGGGTCAAACAAGAAATCCTAAGGGAAATTAGAAAATGTTTTGAATTGGATAATAAATATTGCAGTATATCAGACTTCCCTGGTGGTGCAGTGGTTAAGAATCCACCTGCCAATGCAGGGGACATGGGTTCGAGCCCTGGTCGGAGAAGATCCCATGTGCCACAGAGCAACTAAGCCTGTGTGTCACAACTACTGATCCTGCGCTCTAGAGCCCATGAGCCACAACTACTGAAGTCCGTGCACTGAGAGCCCATGCTCCGCGACAAGAGAAGCCACTGCAGTGAGAAGCCTGCGCACTGCAATGAAGAGTAGCCCCTGCTCACTGCAACTAGAGAAAGCCCGTGCAAAGCAACGAAGACCCAATGCAGTCAAAAATAAATAAATAAATTTAAATTAAAAACAAATATTACAGTATTTCAAAATTTGTGGGTATAGATTAAGCAGTGCTTATGGGGAAATTTATAGCTTTAAATACTTACGTGAAAAAAGAGAAATTTAGAGTCAAGGATCCATTTCCACTTTAACAAACAGGAAAAAGAAAATTAAGCCCAAAGTAAGTAGAAGGGAGGAACGGTAGAGTGGAAATCAATGAAATGTAAGAGTAGATTAAACAGTAGAGAAAATTAATCGAGGCAAAAGTTATTTCTTTAAAATAATAAAATTGACAAGCTCCTGCAGAACAAGAAAAAGGGAACACAGTATTTACCAATATAGGATAACAAAGAGGATATCATCTTGATGTTACAGCCATTAAAAGAATAAAAGGAGAATATTAGGCCAGTAAATTTGACAGTCAATTTAGATGAAATGGACAAACTCCTTGAAAAACACCACTTACCAAAATTGACAGAAAAAAATAGAAAATCTCGATAGCTCTATATTAAAGAAATTGAATTCATTATCAAACACTTCCTATAAAAATAACTTCCTACCAAGTTGGCTGCACTTTTGAATTCTATCAAACTTTTAAGATCCTATATAAACTTTTTCAGAAAATAGAGGAGCCATGGGACTTCCTAGATTATTTAATAAGGTCAGCATAATCCTGATATCAAAACCTGAGAAAGACATTATAAGAAAATTCAGATCAGTATCCCTCATGAATTAGACATAAAAATTTTAAACAAAAAATTAGCAAATCATATCCAGCGATATACAAAAACAGATAATATGTCATGACCAAGTGGGTTTATCTCAGGAATTCAAGATTGATTTAACATTTGAAAATCAATTCGTGTGATTCACGTATTAACAGAGTAAAGTGGGAAATCAAATGGTACAGATGAACCAGTTTGCAAGGCAGAAATAGAGACACAGATGTAGAGAACAAACTTATGGACACCAAGGGGGGAAAGTGGGGGTGGGATGAATTGGGATATTGGGATTGACATATATACACTAATATGTATAAAATAGATAACTAATGAGAACCTGCTCTATAGCACAGGAAACTCCACTTCACTGTACAGTAGAAACTAACACAACATTGTAAAACAACTATACCCCAATTAAGAAAAAAGGCGGTGGGTGGGGGGACCAACACATTCATCTCAATAGATATTAAAAAAGCATTTGACAAAATTCAACAACTAGTTATGGTAAAACCTTTAGCAAACTTGGAATAGAAAGGAAATTCCTCAGTCTGATAAAGACCACCTGTGAAAAACCTATAGCTAACATAAAATTTGTGCTTTTCTCCAAAGATTGGTAACAAGGTAAGGACATCCACTTTCACCCTTCTCTGTGTACTGCATGTAACAGCCAGTGCAATGAAACGAGATATAAATAAAGGCACAAGATTGTCTTTATTTACAGATGACATCATAGCTTTTGTAGGAAAATCCAAAGGAATCTATAAAATGACTACTAAGGCATCAGTATGATGTATGTAAAGAATCCTTCATGATCTGAGAAAATATAGTGTTAAATGGATTAACTAGATTACAGAATTGTACTATGATGTGTTCTCAACCATGTTGAAATACTATGCATAAAATGGCTAGAAAGAAATCAAAATGGTAATACTGATATTGCCGAGTGGTAGGTTTATGCATGATAATTTTCTGTGTTTTCCAATTTTTAAACAATAAATGTATATTTAGAAAAAAAAGTCAGATCTTTTAAAATCTAGTCATAACAGGCAGGAAACTTTAAGGCATTGAGAATTGCTGTTGTTACTGAAGCATGAAACAGACCTGAAACTGCATTTCACAGCCAATTTAAAAACGTACATTTTCACCCCAGTCAGAATTATGCTGCATTAATGGTAACATACAAAGAGAATTCAGGAGATAATTTCCATCATTCAGAAATTTATATATAGTGACATGTCAGGTATCCTGGTTCCATACTATTTTTTTAATGAGCTCTGCTTTTATAAGTAATTTTTTTCTATTAAGTAGCATATTTCTTTTTAAAAATTTATATATATTTTAAAAAAGAAAGAAATAGTTGTGACCACTGTAAAATTTACTCTCTCTTTTCCTGATAAAAACATTCTCCCTCCAATATTTCTCCCTCCAGGTGCTCACTGAAGGGGGCACAAGTGAGACCTCCCAGGTGCGGGATGTGTTGATCTGGGTGGTGGCTAGAGGGGTGTTTGTGTAGAAAAATTAATTAAGTGATCCGTATATTTATGGTCTGTGCTTTTATTTTTGTGTGTAAGTTACACTTCAGTTCATTTATTTTAACAAGGAAATTTTGTGAAACATTTCTCCCTTCAGGGTTAATGTTGATGTTTTTATAGCCCTATACTTAAGAACATGCTCTCACATTGTTATTTCTCTCCTGCTTTAGAAACACATATCGCATGATTGAACAAGATGACTTTGACATTAACACCAGACTACACACAATTGTCAGAGGGGAAGATGAGGCAGCCATGGTGGAGTCAGTGGGCCTGGCCCTTGTGAAGCTACCAGATGTTCTTAACCGCCTGAAGCCTGATATCATGATTGTTCATGGAGACAGGTTTGATGCCCTGGCTCTGGCTACGTCTGCTGCCTTGATGAACATCCGAATCCTTCACATTGAAGGGGGGGAAGTCAGTGGGACCATTGACGACTCTATCAGACACGCTATAACGAAACTGGCTCATTATCATGTGTGCTGCACCCGAAGTGCAGAGCAACACCTGATATCCATGTGTGAGGACCATGATCGCATCTTGTTGGCAGGCTGCCCTTCCTATGACAAACTTCTCTCCGCCAAGAACAAAGACTACATGAGCATCATTCGGATGTGGTTAGGTACGTATCAGACTTCATTCAGTCTAATGGTTGCTTTTGTCCGAAAGTTTGGGTATGCTTCTGTCCTTTGGAAACTACTGTGGGTAGAATGTTCCATTAGCAATCAGAAGGCCAAGGTTTTTAGTTCATAGATCTCGCCCTATGGTATGACTTCACCTCTCTGAGACTCACCTTTTCTATAAAATAGACTTAATGGATTGAATTTTTTAAATCTGTGCTATTTTTATACAATGGAATGCTTTTAATCCATTAAATATAACGTTATAGGTGAATATTAGTTACAGGGACCGATCCTGATATATCAAAAAGGAAAAAAAAGCAAGCTATAAAATTATACGTATAATGATACATTTTTATAAAAACAGTAACGTAGAAAGGTCGGTAAGTATGTGCACCAAGTCATTTATAATATTCACTTCTGGTTAGTAGAATTAAGGTTTTTTTTTTCCTTTATTTTGCTTTTTAGCTCAATGAAACAAATTGTTATTTTTAATTTTAATGCCTTTCTTATGGGCTTGTTGGAATACTCAGATGAGATAATGGATGTTGAAAGCAGTTATAAGGGATTATGATTATTATTAAAAAGCAGAAGTCATAGTTGTACCATTAGAGATTGTTACCTCTGTAAGTAAGCCTTAAGGTCTGAAATCTTCAATGATCAATGATCTAGATTCCTGGAAATTATTTTTGCTACTCAGAGGCAAAGAAAATAGGTTTACACACAATGTCTATTAGTTAATTTATAGTGAGAGTACTATTTAGAGGGCCAATCAGGACTAATCGTCTATTTAGGTATTTAGGACTTTCCTCTGTGAAGAGGTAGATCTGTTGAATAATGAAGTTAATAGTAAATTAATTTGGTGATTGTGTAATCAAAGTGATTGTGTATATTTTAAATCCAGATCACATTAGAACAGGAAATAAATTGGGTTTTTCTACTATATAAGTTAATCCATTCTATATATTTCTTATCCTTGGACAGATTCATAGCTATCAGGGAACCTGTCAAGATAATGCTGATGGAACAGGCTTCTGTCTCTTCAATCTCCCCTTTCTGCATGCTTCTAAGTAAACATTCTTGCATTCTGTTCTGATTATAGTGTTAGCTCACTATGTCTTCTGAAAAACTTTGTATTTCTGAAAAACTTGTAATGAATAGAAAATAACCCTTATAAAGCAGAATACAGCAAAATTGTACTTGTAGGGCTTAAGGTTCTCTTTGGAACCTTTTAAGCAGTTTGTGAAAAGAAGAATGACGATTCTAGCAAAAACTAGATTTTTTTTTTTAAACCAGTGGGGGGGGAAAAAGACATTGAGCCAAAGCCACCTGTCCCTGGCAATAATACCTTTTGTGCAAAGCCTGTACCTGCTTCTCAACCTGCAATTTCTGACGTTATCCTTCTGCTTATAAGAAAAATAGTATTGGGTAAGCCACTCAGAACATGCAGCTTTGTAACCAGAACATTAATAAATAACAGTCCTAATAAAAATATTAGCAAAGTTAAAAAGACATGTTACATTCCTAATACTGAAAGAAATACCACAGTAAATATAGAACTTTTTGACCCAAAACCAAGTAATGGTACCGTAATGGAAACGGTTGTGTGGAAGGGCTGAAGCTGCTGAGTTATGGAGACAAAGGCAGATAAATGTCAGAAGTCATACATCGAGGACCAGGTGCAGGCTTTGCACAAAATGTATTATTGCCAGGGATGGGTAGCTCCAGCTCATCGCTCTGTGTTTTCTTTTTCACTGTTCCTTTTTACTACTTTGAACAAAAATTTAGTAATTATATCCCCACCCCACCCCCAGTTTAGAACATGATATGGGACCAGTCATTTTTTAAAATAAAATTTTGGAGCCTGTAGTCTTTTAAATCAAATACTACTGAAGATTCTTAGTAAAAAATTTCTGTTACCATTAAATCATAAAAAGTAACTGCTGGGCTTCCCTGGTGGCACAGTGGTTGAGAGTCCGCCTGCCGATGCAGGGGACACGGGTTTGTGCCCCGGTCCGGGAAGATCCCACATGCCGCGGAGCAGCTGGGCCCGTGAGCCATGGCCGCTGAGCCTGCGCGTCTGGAGCCTGTGCTCCGCAGCGAGAGAGGCCACAACAGTGAGAGGCCCATGTACCACACAAAAAAAAAAAATTAATAAATTTAAAAGAGTAACTGCTACTGATTGAATTTGGATTAATGATAAACATAATTCATGATAAAGTTGATCATTAAAATTAATATCACAAATAAATATATCCTTTCATTAAAAATAAGTGAGTAGGGGGCTTCCCTGGTGGCGCAGTGGTTGAGAGTCCGCCTGCCGATGCAGGGGACACAGGTTCGTGCCCCGTTCCGGGAAGGTCGCACATGCCGCGGAACGGCTGGGCCCGTGAGCCATGGCCGCTGAGCCTGTGCGTCCGGAGCCTGTGCTCTGCAACGGGAGAGGCCACAACAGTGAGAGGCCCACGTACCGCAACAAAAAAAAAAAGAGTAGAAGAAAACAACAAAACAAACAAAAAAATAAGTGAGTAGAGCTCATCTTCAGTTTTATAGGATAATATAGGCCCTGTTGCAGAATTCTTTGTGTTATTTGGCATGGCACTGTCCACCCAAATCTTTTACACTTTACATTTTTGCTGAGGAACTGTCCTTGGGATCCCAGCCTGGGGATGAGTGAAGCCTTTCTAGGCCTTTGAACAGAGTTAGAAACACTGTTTTGTTGAATCTGGTGGGCGATAGTGGGGAAATGCCTATGCATTATACGAAATTTATTTCATGCTCAATCAATCTCTAAATGCCCTGATTTGCAACACATTATTACTCATTAATATTGCTGATAATTCATTAGAAACACTAGTTAGAAATTGGGAAGAGTCACATTTTTCTAACGCTTTGAAATATTGTGAATTTTAAGACAATGAAGTCTAGTGTCTACTATTTAAAATTATATATTTTGTTTGTGGTAGCAAGCACCTTTGTAAAACGTTAAGTTCCGTGAAGAATCCTTGGACTTGTTGCTGTAAGTTCTTATCCTTTGATCCGAATTTGGATGCCCTGCTTAGAATGTGACAAATTGTTTTTTCCTCAGAATTTTAAAACATAGACTTTGGGGTCTTGCTTTTTAGAATTTGCTTCTTCCTCCTTTAAGATTCTTAACTAATGAAGCAATGTGGTTTGATTTTTCTTTAAACAGGTGATGATGTAAAATCTAAAGATTACATTGTTGCACTACAGCACCCTGTGACCACGGACATTAAGCATTCCCTAAAAATGTTCGAACTAACATTGGATGCACTTATCTCATTTAACAAGCGGACCCTAGTTCTGTTTCCAAATATTGATGCAGGTAATTTAACTTGAAAATGAAAGTATGCCACCTACCTTTCCAGTTTTATGTTTCTATTATGTCTTCTTTTGACCGACCTTCCTATCTTGCTCATCTTATCATTGAAGGCCATTCTATTCTGAAATGCATTCTGATTTTCAAAGGATCACCGATTTTGCAGTAGATTGAGGAGTTTGTGATATTATTCAGTCTAGTAGAAACTTAATAGGAAAGAAATAAATACTTAAAAAAAATCTCAAATCTCCATTCTAGTTTCATGTTTAGTCTCTTCCCTCCATTTTCCATCAATGAGAAAATGCAATAGCCAAAACCTTTTTTTTTTTTAGATTCCATATATATGTGTTAGCATATGGTATTTGTTTTTCTCTTTCTGACTCACTTCACTCTGTATGACAGACTCTAGGGAGGGAGACACAAGAGGGAGGGGATAATGGGGATATATGTATATGTATAGCTGATTTGTTATAAAGCAGAAACTAACACACCATTGTAAAGCAATTATACTCCAATAAAGATGTTAAAAAAAAATGCAATAGCCAAGAGATATAAACCTTAGAAGCTGAAAGAGTGTCTCTAGGAAAGTAATGATCCTACTGACTGCAGTAAAATAGCCATTATTTTTATTTCTTGTTCTCTTATTTATGTTAGCTATACCTTAATTTAATCTTGAGCTTAAGCAATTTAGATCTCTAGCTCCCAACCAGTTGATCCTTAAGCCTAACCTGATTGATCACCTACTGGTGGGTGGAACCAGTGCTAGTAAGACCTTAGGTTAATGGTAGGGATATATAAATGGGAAATGCCAGAGCAGGGCCTGATACTGAGGGATTTTCAGATACTGGTTATTATTAGCTGATACCACTCATTGCTGAGCTCTTAGGCATTTTTTGGTAAAGGAGGCAGGATCCCTTCTCTGCAGTGCCAAGATGTCACCATCTTACACTGAAAGAATCCTTCCCTTAGTGTGTCTTGAATAATCTTTTCCGTTAGGGGGAACAAAGTAGGGTGTTAGTAGGAAAAAAACTTTAAGACCCCCCAACCCAGATTTCATCCAGGTTATGTATCAATATTTCAAAAACCTTAATATTTATTCTTTTCTAATCCCTTACATTTTTGCATAAATATTTATAATGTAATTATATCTGTTCTTCAGTATTCATTGTCAGTGATATTCTGTTTGTAATATACCTTCCTTATTGTATATACTTTAGAATTTGAGATTTTTTACCCCTATGAAAGGAAAGGGTCCCAGGAATGCCTAAATCATGTCTGCCACTCGCCTCTCCTTTTCACAGGGTTTTTGATAAAATATACACAAGGAACAAGAGGGAAATAAGAATCAAGGCATCACTTTCTCATTATCTGACTTAGTGCCCCATTCCCTAATGTAGGCTTTTCTGGAAAACAGGTTTAGTGCCTTTTGTATAGGGCCAAAGAGAAGCCTTCAGTTGAACCCAAATCTGAACCTTGGAATAGTAGCAGCTTCTGGCGTGCCCTGCACTACACGAGTTCTAGGTAATGACTGGCATGTTCTGGCAGGAGAGAAGTGGCCGGGCCTGCTCTAAGGAGTTAGCCCCTGAGTCTGTTGCCTGCCTTGCCATGGAGAAAGTTAAAAGGAGAACACATGCATGCCCAGCTTCTGTTAAATTCGCGGCTCCTGCACACCAGTGGACACAGTGTGGTCGTCGTCCTGCCTTGTAACTGATCAGATTAGCCTCCTTGCCCGCCTTGGTCACAGCCACTAGCAAAGGGTGAGTAGAGAGGCAAGCAGAGGGACACTGAATATCATCTCCCCCTCATACATCTGTAACTTTTCAAAACAAAGTCATGCATGTAAAGTAAAATATCAGCCACAGTATCAGAATCTGTATTTGCTTAGAGCTTGTTTAGTCCACGTAAGTGGGAGCGCTTGCTGTCCCACTGAGCTGTCGTTACTGTAGATGTGAGCATAGCTGAGGCAGAGGCCCTCGATCAGCTTGGTACGTGGAGCCCGAGACCTTTCCATTTAGGAACTCCTGGCTTAAGAGATAGAGACTGTTGGACTGTCTTGAGCCTCTTAATTGGTAAGGTAAGAGCTTTTACTGGGGTGTTAGTATTTGCTTTGTGGAGTGCTGTTTGAAGAGACCCACTGCTGCTGTTTAAAGTTTCTAGACGAGTTGAAACACAGGGCTGACCAGATGTTTTGGATGTTCATCATTCATGAAAAGATCAGTAATTAAAAGGACTGTTTCCCTAATAACTGTTATGAGTTTTTATGAGAGATATTTCTTTAAGTGGGGCTATACTTGCCGATGAAAATTGTTCCTTTATCTCGTAAACCATTTAACAGTTGGTTCTTTTCATTTTCACAGGGAGCAAAGAAATGGTTCGAGTGATGCGGAAGAAGGGCATTGAGCATCATCCCAATTTTCGTGCAGTTAAACATGTCCCATTTGACCAGTTTATACAGCTGGTTGCCCATGCTGGTTGTATGATTGGGAACAGCAGCTGTGGGGTACGAGAGGTTGGAGCTTTTGGAACACCTGTGATCAACCTAGGAACACGTCAGATTGGAAGAGAAACAGGTATTTACCTTTGCTTATATTTCAACTGACTAAGCTTAATACATTTGTATGAGTTATTATAAAGTATGCACGTATCGGTGCCGGCATATGTGTTTATCAGTAAGTGAGTGAATGAGGTTAATGACCAATTGTAGCCTGAAACCTATAGGTAGCACACACTGATTACCAAATTTTTTATTGTCTTTGTAATATCAGAGCTAAGAGTTTCTTAGTTAATTATGGTCTTTGATGGCTGTGTTTAAGAGAGAATGTGGTTGAATGTGTTATATGAATGCCAGTCTTTCGTTTTCCTGTGCCCAGTAAAATGAAGAAGGGAATCAACAATAATTCTTACACTTTTGGTTTGAGTAGTGGGGGTGTTCTTTCCTGATACGGAGTACCCTGAGGACGGAATAATTTGGGAGTGGGTAGAATTAAGAGTTCTCTAATGGCCATGTTAAGTTTGAGATGCCTATTAGATATGAGTGGAGATGGCAGGTTGGCAGCTATGTTGTTCCAGGGAGAGTTGAAGTTGAAGATACAGATTTGAGAGTGATGGCGTATAGATGGTGTTTAGTTAGGATATCAGTTCAGCTGCTGTAACAGAGAGACCCAAAATAAGAGTGCCTCAAATAAGTTAGATTTTCTTTGTTTCTCACTGTAAGTCATCAGAGACTTAGCCTCCATCTATCTTCTTGATGGTTGCTCCATCTCTTGCTGCCAAGTGCACATTTTAGCCACTGGGAAAGGAGGAGAGGGGAAGATGTCCTTCCCTCTAAAAGCACAACTTGGAAGTTGCAAGTATTTCTTCATACATCCTATCAGAATGTCGTCACATGGCCACATCCAGCTGCAAGGGTAGCTGAAGAATACATATACCCTTTAGCTGGGTGATTAGATGCCAAGCTAAAAATTCTGCTACTGTACAAAGGATATTGAGGATAATGACACACTGTGCCAGAAATGGTATTTAAAACCAAGGGATGAAATGAGATTACCCAGGGGGAACATGTAAATAGGGAAGAGAATGGAGCCTAGGACCAAACTCTGGAGCCCTTCTGATGAGGAGGGAAGGGCCAGGAGGGAAGACTGAAAAGGAACTGCCAGAAAACCGGGAGTGTGATATTATTAAAGCCCAGAAAAGAAAGGGTTTCAAGGAGATGGTGTTGAATGATGCTGAGAGTTCAAATAAGATGTGAACATTGGATTTGGTACCAGGGTCTTCTATCAAAAGCAGTCTGTCCTGGGACTTCCCTGGTGGCGCAGTGGTTAAGAATCCACCTGCCAAGGCAGGGGACACGGGTTCGATCCCTGGTCCAGGAAGATCCCACATGCCGCAGAGCAACTAAGCCCATGCACCACAACTACTGAGCCTGTGCTCTAGAGCCCGCGAGCCACAACTACTGAGCCTGCATGCAACAACTGCTGAAGTCTGCACGCCTAGAGCCTGTGCTCCACAACAAGAGAAGCCACCGCAATGAGAAGCCTGCGCACCGCAACGAAGAGCAGCCCCCGCTCACCTCAACTAGAGAAAGCCTGCCTGCAGCAACAAAGACCCAATGCAGCCAAAAATAAATAAATTTATTTAAAAAAAAGATTTCTCTTAAAAAAAAAAGGCAGTCTGTCCTTTCTGCCACCACACTTACACAAACACATGCCCCTCTATCCTTTCCTTCTTACCTTCTTTACATTGGAGGGTGTGGGGTCACCCCTGCCTGTCCACTGCTCTGCCTTCTACCTGTGTTCTAAATCCCCACCCCTATTGGCTTCTCAAGGACGTTTCTCTTCCATGTATCTTTAGCCTCCTTGGCATTTAAACATGCCTAAGTCTCTGGTATCTTCAAAACAAAACAGTACAAAACAACCTCTCCCCAGCCACCACCCTTCTGCTTTTCTCCTCTTCATAGCCAAGTCTATTGAAAAAACATGTCATTGTCACTGTATTTACTCCCTCAAATTGGTCAGAAAATGTATGGAAAGGAAGTGACTGCATCAACAGCTGACTGGCCAGTTGACTAACTGGCAACCTGGCCTGACCAGTTGATCCCACAACTGGCTGAGTAGATGGAAGGTAGGGCAGATGGAAAGAGTGGACACGCTGGATGAACAGATGAGTGGCAAGTGGATACTGGATTAATTACCTTATTTATTCCAATAAACAAACAAGAGCTTGATTTATTCTCTTTGGGAATAAAGGAACCTACGGCTCCTTACTTATCTGATATATGGAGATCTTGCTGAGAGTGCTTTAAAAGGTATAAAGTAGAAAAGTTCGTCTCTCTAATAGAAGACTTGTTTGAAGCCTTCTGGGTTATAGGGCTACTTATAAGCACGACACACTGCTCATTTCTATATTCTTTGGTTTCTCCCACTTCCGAATCACTATACGGCACTGGATTTACCTAGGGGAGAATGTCCTTCATGTCCGGGATGCTGATACCCAAGACAAAATATTGCAAGCGCTGCACCTTCAGTTTGGTAAACAGTACCCTTGGTGAGTGTATATTTTTAAAGTGATTTAAAACAGGAGCTGTTTTGGGCACCATTTTCAAGCTGTGTAGTCGCCCTAATGGTGCTCTCATTCTGCATCCTTAGAGGTCCCTATCTGCTGGTGAGACAGGGCTTGCTAATCTACCCGCTGTTACTCTACCAAGGGTTCCAGTGGAGAATAATTTGTCTCAGTTAATACAGCACTTCTGCTAGGAACTACTGCTTTAGCCTATTTTGAATTTCTGTAAGTATTAGAAAGTAATGTAACGATTTTCTTTAAAAATAGTATAGTTCAGCATTTTAATTTAGACTATCCTTTCTGTTTCAAATTAATCAGATTTTCCTTTATTTGATTCTTTTTTTCTGAAAATAATTTTTTCCTTACAAAAGTAAAGATGAAAACCAAAAAAGCAAAAAAAATTTTTTTACTGTCCCAAACTATGATATATTCTGAAATTGGCTTAACAAAGATAATTTTTCTTTGATCTTACAGGCAATTTGTTAATGATATCTCAGGAGGAAATAGTTGTATTGCAATCAACAATGGTTTTAGATATTCTATTGATAATATGAAGGTATTTAGTTAGAGTGTGGCTGAAGAGATCCAGATGTTGTTATTTTAAAAGAAGAAGCCCAAACTATTTATTACCCGAAATTTCAGATTCCAATAATACTGTGTCCTCAATATAATTTAATATGTACAAGAGAAACAATTTAATTGACTTTTTGGACATTGCAGTTCAAAGATATATGGGGATGGAAATGCTGTTCCGAGGATTTTGAAGTTTCTCAAATCTATTGATCTTCAAGAGCCACTACAAAAGAAATTCTGTTTTCCTCCTGTGAAGGATAACATCTCCCAAGATATTGACCATATTCTTGAAACTCTAAGTGCCTTGGCTGTTGATCTTGGTGGGACGAACCTCCGAGTTGCAATAGTCAGCATGAAGGTAAAATAACTGTTAAGGTTTTAACTTTATATCCCATACGAGTAGTTGATTTTTAAAAAGTGTGGTTGGAAGGTAGGACTAGAAACATACACAAGAGCTTGTAATCATTTGCCCACAGTATTGACTTTTGGTTCCATTACAATGTGTGTCTCACTATTTTACTAATCACTAACATTTTTTTTTTTTTTTTTCCTGGTACGCGGGCCTCTCACTGTTGTGGCCTCTCCCGTTGCGGAGCACAGGCTCCGGACGCGCAGACTCCGTGGCCATGGCTCACGGGCCCAGCCGCTCTGCGGCATGTGGGATCTTTCTGGACTGGGGCACGAACCCATGTCCCCTGCATCGGCAGGCGGACTCTCAACCACTGCGCCACCAGGGAAGCCCTCACTAACATTTTAAAGAAGTAAAGTTCTCAGGGAATCCAAGTTAGTAGACTTGAGTTGACAATGGGAGACCCATTAGGCATCAGAGAGAGCATCTGCCACCCAGGAGACCTGATATTCTATACTTGGTAACAGCTTGGAGCATGGAGTATGTTGATTACTCTCACTACCCAGGGGAGGGCGTCTGCAAATGGTGAGGGGAATTGCTTCTCCTCTAGATCATGATTTCAGTTGCATACAGCATACCTTCAATCTCTTAACCAAACCATCACCACAGTGTTGACAGAACCTTTATAAAACACCAAACTGTCCATGTTAAAATGATCTCTGGGGCTTCCCTGGTGGCGCAGTGGTTGAGAGTCCGCCTGCCGATGCAGGGGACACAGGTTCGTGCCCCGGTCCGGGAAGATCCCACATGCCGCAGAGCAGCTGTGAGCCATGGCCGCTGAGCCTGCGCGTCCGGAGCCTGTGCTCCGCAACGGGAGAGGCCACAACAGTGAGAGGTCCGTGTACCGCAAAAAAAAAAAAAAAAAAAGATCTCTGATGACTTAACAAGGAAGAATAAACCTAACAGAAAAATCTTTGTTTGAAGCATTGTAGATGTGTGAAGTTTCAGGAATCCATGAGAAATACAGAGGATTTTAAATACAAAGTTGTTTAGATCAAATAAAAGCAAAACAAAACATAATTTTAGTGAAGACAAAGACTCCTTTATAAATACTCTTTAAAAAGTATTAATAGAAAAATATTTTCTTAACATAAAGATATATTCCATATCAATGGTGAACACCCTCTGTAGCGGCATTTCTATAGCTATTCCTATTAAAATCAAGTGGAAAAGAAGGATGTTTTCTGCACCATTTAACATAATTCTCAAAGTTAGGAAGGGAATAAAGCAAGGAACGAATAGCAAAAATGGCGATTGTGGACAGGGTAAAACAAAAAATGTTATAGACAATACGAATAAACCAACAAGCTTGTAGAATAACACAATTGAGTAAAATGGCTAGATATGATAAATATATAAATATCAATACCTTTTTACTTATATGAAATTGTAGGTAAAGATTTGAATTTTTCTGTAGGTGAGTATTTGTCAACCCTGATTGCACATTAGTGTTACCTGGAAGCTTTAAAAAATATATGGATGCCTGGCTCCCACCCCAGACTAGTTAGATGCCAGTCTCTGGGGGTAGGGACTAGGCATCAATATTTGTTCAAAGCTGCCCAGGTGATTCTGATGCACAGTGAAGGCGGAGAAGCACAACTAGGTTTATTTTTAATGACAGTCATTAGTGACAGCTTTAACCCTTGTAAATGGACAAAAATCCATTAATAACAGAAGAATGGAAAAAGTGATCCTATTTAGAACAACAGAACTTATAAAATAAAGTTTTCTGGTTTCCTAAACCAGAAAACTATATGATCTATAAAAAGAAAATCTAAAAACTTTAAAATATAAAGGCTTGAAAAATATCCTGGTTAGGAGTGCTGAGTATTTTTTTAAATGTCAGCACTTTCCAAATTGAATTATGAGTTTAACGTAATTCTAGTCAATTTCAGTGAGGCTTTTTAAAGTTTAACCACATTATTCTGAAATTTACTTAAAATAATACACAAGTGAGAAGAGCAAAGAAATTTAAAAACAAGAATAATTAGGAGGGACTGTCCCTGATTGGTATTAAAACATATCACTAAGCACAGTAATTTAAACATCATGGTTCCATACCATTATTGACTTCAGTTATGGCAGATGATTAAAGCTTAATGACTTAGGATATTTATTTAGTTGCTTCAGTATTTAAACAAGGAAATTTTGTCAACCTGAAAGAGTTAAAAATGACCTTCTAATGACGATTCAGATTAGCCAACATTCACCTTATGTTTAAGAGAGGGCCCATCTGGTTGGCTGTGGAGTTGTCATTGCTTCAACGGCCATATGCTAGGTTGTCTTCCCAGGAAACTACCTGAGTGTATCCCAGGGCTGGCCCAAGCCAGACAGTGGATCCCTTCCCCAGCAGTCATCTGACTCTGCAGTACTGTCCTAGAGTAATGTCTGATTTATTGTGAAAAAGGTCAAAGATTCAGTGTATGCTCCTTAGCTGAGACCCATGAGACAGATCTGTTTTTTCTCTTTCAGGGTGAAATAGTTAAGAAGTATACTCAGTTCAATCCTAAAACCTATGAAGAGAGGATTAATTTAATCCTACAGATGTGTGTAGAAGCTGCAGCAGAAGCTGTAAAACTGAACTGCAGAATTTTGGGAGTAGGTGAGATTGTAAATTACATACCTAAGCAATGTTCATTTTAATGTACAGTTTGCTGAGTTCTGATGCATGATGGAACATCAGGTCACTGTCTGCCCTGTGTGTAGATGGTTCCAGGTCCTGTCTGTGGGCCCCAAGCATGGGGCCTTCCTGGGACCCCAACAAACATTGTGAGAGAAGCATTGATGGAACTGTCAACCTATGGGGAGCCACAGATTTAGCTCAGAACTGCCTTACATTTCCTTGCAGTCCTTGGTAATGTTTGTTTTAGGAGATCTTGGGTGAATTAGTGTTCCAAGCCCAGAAAGTCAGCACACTTTTCTGAGATTGCTCATTAGAATCATTTTCCTTGTGTTTGTGGTGGAGCCCAGGCATTTCCACAGGTGGCCGTGTAAATCCTCGGGAAGGAATTGTGCTGCATTCAACCAAACTGATTCAAGAGTGGAACTCTGTGGATCTCAGGACCCCCCTGTCTGACACTTTGCATCTCCCCGTATGGGTAGACAATGATGGCAACTGTGCTGCCCTTGCAGAAAGGAAATTTGGCCAAGGAAAGGGCCTTGAAAACTTTGTGACACTTATCACAGGCACAGGTAAGAGGAGTAGAGATGGCTGCTTCAGGAGCTAGGGTGTGTGTTGGGGCACGTGCCTTTACCACTCAGCCAGGCAGTTTACAAGTCAGCTTTCACCTTCACTTCCTGCTTGAGTAGAGCCTGAAGGTGAGAGTGAGGGCCCGCCCAGGTCTTTTCTGAGCATGTGCCCCGCCCTGTGCATGCATTGGCCTTCTAACTTCCCAGGAATCGTCTGAGCTATTCAAAGCCCTTATTCCCCAAAGCTTCTCATTGCTCATTCTCCAGGATTTCCTCCTACTCTCTTTGGTTAGTATATTGTTTGTCACAACTGTTGTCCATTGCCCTAGGCAGTAGAGACTAATAACTATATTTTGCCTTTAAATGTTTTTGGTGAGTGCCCCCTGGATAGCCCCCTCAGCCCTGGGAAAGTTCTGGGGTAGGTGAGATAAAGGCAAGCCCTTTGAGCTGGTCCTCTGGGAGCCACCAAGCAGGTCAAAACAAACCACCACAATTCTTTGAGAAGAAGGTTCATTCTGCTCTCTCCATATTGCCATCTGTACTGGCAATGTAGGCTATTATTCTAGGCCATCGCCAAACTGGGGGGTGAGGGGTGGGCGTGATGGGACCAGAAAATGCCAGAAATCTCTTACTAAGATTCAGCCGGTTTTTTCTTGATTAATTGTTCCCCTGGTTGTTGTAAGGTTTTGGTTAGTTTCCAGAGTTCCAAAAAACTCGATTCTGACAGTTTTTGCCAGTTTGTTCATTGCTTTAGTGAAGGGATGGGCTTTTGGAGTTCCCTACTCTGCCACTTTTGCTGATGTCTCAATTTGTTTTGTTTTGTTTTGTTTTGTTTTATTTTGTGGTACGCGGGCCTCTCACTGTTGTGGCCTCTCCCGTTGCGGAGCACAGGCTCCGGACGCGCAGGCTCAGCGGCCATGGCTCACGGGCCCAGCTGCTCCGCGGCATGTGGGATCTTCCCAGAACTGGGGCACGAACCCGTGTCCCCTGCATCGGCAGGCGGACTCTCAACCACTGCGCCACCAGGGAAGCCCCCAATTTTTTTTTTAAATGAGAAGACGGGCTCAGGTAGTCAGTGTTCGAGGCAGCACTTGGTCCCACATATGCCTAACTTCAAACCGTGCGTGCTCTTTTTTTTGTTTTTAATTAGGGTATAGCTGTTTTACAATGTTGTGTTTCTACTGTACAGTGGAGTTCCCTGCGCTATCCTAATATGTATAAAACTGTGTGTGCTCTTAAACTCCACGTTATACTACCTCCCTAATGCTGAGCTCATGCACTTCTCTTAGTCTCGGACACAGTTTTAGCAAGCTTGGATATCATTTCCTAGTTCAGAGCAGTAATAACCTGCAAATTAGAGGAGTGAGGGTTGATGAGTAGGTGCCACAAGAAGTAAGAGATGGCAGGACAACTCTAAAATGCAGACCCTATTAAAGCAAAACGCCCTTTACCCCTTACTAGCTCCTCAACTCCGTAACAAAAAGTACTCATCGATATTCAAAATTATTGAATCATAGATTTTTAGACATGGTGGCATTATGAAGAGGCAAAACCATGTTTCATATTCTCTGTTTAAGAAAGCAGGTGGGGGCTTCCCTGGTGGCACAGTGGTTGAGAGTCTGCCTGCCGATGCAGGGGACGCGGGTTCGTGCCCCGGTCCGGGAAGATCCCACATGCCGTGGAGCGGCTGGGCCCATGAGCCATGGCCGCTGGGCCTGTGCGTCCGGAGCCTGTGCTCCGCAACGGGAGAGGCCACAACAGTGAGAGAGGCCCGCGTACTGCAAAAAAAAAAAAAAAAAAAAAAAAAAAAAAAAAGCAGGTAGTGTATGAAACCTTTCAGAAAGATTGTCTTATCTTGGGTTTCTCCCACAGCAGAGCCTGAGACAAGGAGTTCAGTGTGGGTATTTTATTTTGGAGGTGATTCTGAGAAGCAGGAGTGAGGGAGTGGGAAGAGTGGGACAGAGCAGGGGAGCCATTAGAGGATGTATTATCAAAGTTGCCTTGAGGACAGTGGGGGTTGAAATCTACCCAGAGTTGTCCACTTAATCTGCTGGCTCCTGTCTCTCCTTGGTTGACAGCTGCTTCTGGGCAACTGTGTGTGCATGGCTACTAGGCTCTTACTTGAGTGTTGGAGAAGGCCTTGGTGAGAACCAAGTTGAAATCATAGTGAGCCAAGGAGATGCAACACAGGGCATTGGAGGATCAGCTAAAAATATTTCCATACAAAATGATTCCAGGTAAAGCTTTGGTACTTAGTAAATTTCAGCTATCTAGGAAAGTAGGCACCATATAGAACCTCACATTCCAAAGCTTTGCTAAACAGAGGAGGCGTTGCCATAGCAGTTTTCTGTTTCAGGTGCAGAGCCACTTCAGTGATTGTCGTCTCTCACTATAGGAATTGGCGGGGGGATCATCCATCAGCATGAACTGATCCATGGCAGCTCCTTCTGCGCTGCAGAGCTTGGCCACATTGTGGTGTCCCTGGATGGGCCTGACTGTTCCTGTGGAAGCCATGGGTGTATTGAAGCATATGCCTCTGGAATGGCCTTGCAGAGGGAAGCAAAAAAGCTACATGATGGTCGGTTTCTTTCACCTGAGGAATTAAATAGCCAAATGGTAGACAAGTACTTCAAAGTAGATATTCCAAAGAGAGCTGAACGCTGACACCAGAACTTTTAACCTTTTCACTCCCTAGAGGAAAATCAGGGCTCCACATACTGCAGCTCAAAGTCTTCTTGGTCCTGACCCGTATTAATACCCTTCCTCTCCAGCACTGGGAGGGCCGGGGTCTTGAGCTCCAGGATAGCAGGGGAGATGTCTTTCATTTTTGCCTTCTCAGCCCCTAGCACAGGTTGGGTACTTAATAGAGATTTTAATGGAGAATTAAATGGATGAACATATTACAGTTTTTCAACTGAGAGGTTTATTTGAATTACACCTATTTCTGGACATGTTATTAATGTCAGGATGGTTTCTAGTCTAATTCAAGAGGGAGTCGTTTAATATCATTACAACATGGTGTGTCAAGTGGAATGAGAACGATGGCCAAGGAACATAGATGCATATAGGAAGGACACCAGTGTTCCCTCCCCGCCCTCTCCATACAGGGAAGGGAGCGTTAGGGTGCTGTCCTGGGAGTTGAGAGTCAAGAGGGTAAACAGAATTATTGAGGCAAGTTTGGATGAGCCAGGGAGCATTTCCAAGCATAGGAAACAGTGGTGTTGGTGCATAAGGGCAAGGCAGGGTATAGTGTAGCAAGAGGTAAGCCAGGACCAGCAGCTAATGGAAAAACCACTGAAAAATTTTAGGGTAAAGACATAGATCCAAATTTTAGATTTTTCACCACACTTTTTTTTTCTAGCAGGAAAATGGTAGTTGAATGGAGGCTGGCTTTAAGGGGGACAGTTCTAGAGTGACTTCCAGTTTTCTGGGTGGACACCTTTGGGGGTAGGGACATGAGAGGAGGAACAGGGCTTGGCAGAAGCTGACGGTTGGGAACCAGTGGGACATGCAGGTGGGAGCGTGCAGGAGGCAGCTGGCTGCAGGGGTCTGATGCTCAGGAGAGGGGACAGGACTGAAGTCAGGATTGGGAATCATGGGCACTGAGGTGGCCATTAAACCTGTGAATGAGACTTGCAGTGAGATGAAAGTCCAGGGTGGAATCCTGTGAAATGTCAGCACTTGAGGGCAGGGAGGAAAACCAGGAAAGGGTAAAGTCACAGGAACCAAAAAGGGAGTGTTTCAGGGAGGGTAGTGGGTAGTGTCAAGTGCTGAGTAAGAGGAAACCAGAAAGTTAATTGGCTTTGACCCTGAGGAAGGACATCATTTGAAGCCCTGAAAACAGTGTTTATTTTTCAGTCTCATTTTTATCAACACCCCCCCCACTAAGGAGCCTAAATGTTTAGACAATTTTTCCTAATCATTCAACCCCATGAAACTTTAATACCACAGATACATTGTTTATCTGTTGTTACTGTCTGTATAAAAAGAGTAAGAATTTTTTTGCCCACAAGAACCAGTTTTTGCCCCCATGGGGGTAAATGCATATCTTAAAGAAGTTCAGTCAAGTGGGAGCAGAAGCCTAACTACCCTGAGTAGGAGCAGAAGTGAGGGTTGAGAACGCAGGAGGGGAAGGGTGGAGGAGCCCTTACAAAAAGGCCCCTGGGGAGAGAGGGAGAGATGAGCTGTGAAGCCCTGGTGGAGGGGCGAGAGAGGGAGAGCAGCGGGATTTGCGAACACAGACCTGTTTATAAGCCGGGGCAGAGGAGTAAGGGAGTTCTACCTGGAGGCATCCTTTATCTGAGAGGTCAGAAATGGGGAAATCTCTTGGTGGCGGGAGCTGGGATAGACGGTCTGAGGAGATGAAGGCTGAGAAGGGCAATGAACGGGAATGGGAGAGAGTGGCCAGAGCAGCTGTGAGGGCCCCTGGAAGACAGGAGACCACCACTTGGTGTCTAGGTAACCGTCTGCTTGGTTGGGATTTTCTCCCATCAGAGCCCAAGTAATAGCAGATGAGGAAGGAGTTTGAATCTGGGTTGGTGGCTGGCAGTGTGAGGGGCAGAAAGTCAAGGACTACAGATAACTACAGAAATATCTACCATTCATTTAGCATTTACTCTGGCCAGCACTTAACTTGAGTACTTAAGTCCATTTTCTCATTTAATCCCTAAAGGAATCCTGCTAGGGTAGGTATCATTACCCCAGTCTTAGAAGAGAAACACGTGGAGGTGACATGGGCAGGGTAGTGCAGCCCGTGGTGGTAGAGCTGACAGCTGAACCCAGGTCTGTCCGTTTCTGAGGTGCTGTGCCTTCCTGCCACTGTGGGTCACTGGCAAATAATGCAGCCTTGCATCTGGCATAGATAAGGGAGGAGATGAATGCAGAGGAGTTCTGGTAATTTTGGGGGAAAAAAACACTTCAAGATTGTTTAATATGGAAGGGGGAAGTGAAGGAGGCTCTGGTCAGAGTTGAGGATTTCCAGTTAGAGAAGTTCTGGATGATGTATAAGCAGGCAGCAAAGCCCTCTGGCAAATGTATATGGATATTTACGAATGATAAAAAGCTTTGCAAATGTGAAAAGAGATTATCATCTTCCCACTTGGAGGCTTGCCGCCCACAGGCATAATTATGAGCTTGGCCTTCCGAAGCTCATGAATGACTGCTTCTCCTTCTCACCTCTGCTCAAACAGAAGACCAGCTCTTGGTGGAAGGGATGTCAGTGCCAAAAGACGAAGCTGTGGGCGCACTCCATCTCATCCAAGCTGCGAAACTTGGCAATGCAAAGGCCCAGAGCATCTTGAGAACAGGTGAGCACGCGGGTCTGGGCAGCTCTGACAGCCCAGGGCTCCGACAAATGCCCAGCCCTCAGGACCAGTGCAGAGGTAATTTTCCTACTTACTGTTCAAGGTATTTGGCAGTGTTGCCTTTTTAAACAGGTTTTTGTTTTGTTTTACAACTATGAAAAAACTACTTGTTCATTTTCTGGAAATTTAGAGAAATACAGGAGAGTAAGGAAAAGTATCTTTTAGTTTTACTGTTCAGAGATATCAACTATTAACATTTCCTTCCAGTCTATTTTTTTTTTACATAGTTGAGATCATATAGTATAGTATATGTACAGTTTTATACCCAGCTCTTTTCATTTCAAAGTATCACATAATCATTTTTTCATATTAAGGATAAATCATATAAACAGCTTTAAAAGTACTGCTTCCATGAGGTAGTGTGAACGAACTATTCCTGGCTGGTGCTCTTTTCCACCTTCCTCTTTGACTTTGGATTTGGCTCTCTCCCCGAAAACTTGTTTTTAATTTTTGTTTTCCTGTAGCTGGAACAGCGTTGGGTCTTGCGGTTGTGAACATCCTCCACACTATGAATCCTTCCCTTGTGATCCTCTCTGGAGTCCTAGCCAGTCACTATATCCACACTGTCAAAGACGTCATCCGCCAGCAAGCCTTGTCCTCGGTTCAGGACGTGGACGTGGTGGTTTCGGATTTGGTGGAACCCGCCCTGCTCGGCGCGGCCAGCATGGTTCTGGACTACACGACTCGCAGGATCTACTAGTCCTCCGAAGAGTGGACGTGGACCGAGATTCAAGAGCTCCTTGGCAGAATCAGGTTGTCTTCTAGATGAGCATTTCTTAAAAGGCAAATTTGGTATTTCAATTTATTTGGCAGGCAACTTTGGCAGAGTTTTTGCTTTTAGTCTCTTCCAGAGTCACTTTTCCCAACCCGTTTTTGTAGATGCTGCTCCTTGTGCGGTCATTTCAGCTCAAACCTTGTCACAATCTTCTGTGCCAAAAGGAGCTACAGTAGTAGCCGAGGAAGCCTTAGGACTCTGCTTACTAGATGTACCACTTAGACCTGCAGGCCTTGCTTGGGGTGTGACCTTGATACTGGAGTTTGGATTATTAATCCTTCCTCCTCTGACCCTAAGTTCAGAACACAGAAAGGGATCCAGTCAGGGAACAGAAGGAAATCTCACCATGAAGGGCTTAAGTAAAACCTTTTTAAAGCAGTTTTATTGAGGTATTTTTTAAAGTGCACAACTTGGTTGAGTTTTGACATATATATACCTATGAAACCATGGCCACGATCAGGACATCAGGTGTATGTATCTCTCACCCCCAAACATTACTTGTTGAAAGATGTTATTTGCTATTACTCTCTCAGAATCTTGAGCAACTTTAGATCAGGGATCTGAATTACAGTGGCCTTAGTGACCTTGTCCTTATCTTCTTAAGGCCAGCTGAGAAGCCACTAGGACTTACAGCCTCTGAAAGATTAACCATCCCAGAAGGATCCTTGCTACTGACAAGCAGACACCTCTCCCTTCAATAGCTTTTCATACTACGTTGAATATGACCCTGGAGTGTTGATTAAGGCAGTGTTTGTTGTGTGTCATACCTAGAGCCCACATCTGTGAAATCTGGATTCTGGCTAAATAAGATTGCACGCTCGAATTGGTGTCAAGATAACAAAGGCCAAGGTTCTTGCTATTAATTTCAACCTGGAAGAAATACTGATAGCCACCATTTATTAAGTGCCTACTGTGTGCCAGGCTCTGAACTTGGTGCTTCATATGCATTATTCTAAATTCTCACAACCAGTAAGGTAGGTGTTTTAATTCCCATTTTATAGAACCCCAAACTAAGTCAAGTGGTGTGCCTAAAGCCGCGTGGCTAATGAGTCTTAAAGACAGGGTTTGACCCAGGTCCCTCTGTGTTTTTTCTGCTAAGCCACACAAACCTCTCTTCATATCAAAAACTTCCAAAGTGCAAATATATTCTAATTTATTCCAGGCTACCAAGAGCTTTCACAAGAATATCTTATTAGCAAATGAATCGATTCATCCTTGACACTATCTCTCAGTGGTGAATTTAATAAAATATTCCTGTATGCTGTGGTAATTTTGCCAGCACAGTATTTGGTCTAGTGACAGGTTTTTATGGGTACTTTTAGATGACCTTAAAAAGGACATGCATATGTTTTTCAGATTGTTTATTATTTTAGGAAAACCTGAAGGTTTCTACAGCATTATTTCTGTGTTCACATATAAAATGAAGGAATCAAGTTTGCATTTGAATTACTTCCTTCCTGGTGGGTTAATGTGAAAAGCTAGGTTGGCTGATTCTTAGAACTCTGTCAGCTCTGAAATAATCTCCAGGTCCTGGTTGATTCCTGGGAAGGAAGCTAGTTGGCTTGGCCATCAGTGTCTGGGGCGGGTCGGTATACCGTGAAGGGGCATCAGCTGTTCTTTGATAAAACCTACAACCACTGCATACACCAGACAGTTGCACTGCTACCAAGTTTCATACCAAATATTTGGAAGGATGGTATTGAATCTAAAACCAAATCTTAGTTTTTATTAAATTCATGGAAAGGCTAATATATTCCAACATAATTATTACATATAGCTAAATGATCACATCTTAATTTATTTTAATGTAAATATTTTTATTTTACTGTTCTGAGCCAAATTCTAAAAAAATAAATGTATTTCCTTGTGGAAATCCTGCCATTTCTGTATTTTGTTTTGTTCTTAATTAGCTCATTAGCTAAAAGCATTCCCCTTCCCAAAAGAGATTTGTTGTGCTCCTTACTTTCTGAAGGTCATATAACTTCTTTAAGGCATTTAATATTGATTTAACAACCACCCCACCAAAAAACTTTGTTAATAGAAAGCATTGTTATATAACTTTAAAATATATATTGCAAAATGATCACCACACTGTCTAGCTAATATCGTCACAATACATAGTTAAGAGTTTTTTTCCCTTGTTAAGATCTACTTTCATAGCAACTTTCAAATATGCCATATAGTATTATCAACTATAGTCGCCATGCTGTACATTACATCCCCATGACTTATAACTGGAAGTTTGTACCTTTTGACCCTCTTCACCCACTCCCCACCTCCCAACTCCCCACCTCCCAAACCCCCACCTGTGGCAACCACCGATCTGTTCTCTCTGAGCTTGGTTTTGTTTTTTTAACATTCTACATATAAGTGAGATCATACAGTATTTGTCTTTCTCAGTCTGATTTATTTCACTTAGCATAATGCCCTCAAGGTCTAGCCATGTTTCACAAATGGCAAGATTTCATTTTTTTTCTAATGGCTAAATACTATTCTGTCATATATATTTACACATTTTATTTATCCATTCATCCACTGATGGACACTTAGGTTGTTTCCATTACCTTGGCTATGTAAATAATGCTGCATGTAAGAGTGCATATATCTTTTTGAGTTAATGTTTGTGTTTTCTTCAGATAAATACCCAGAACTGGAATTGCTGGATCATATGGGAATTTCATTATAATTTTTTGAGGAACCTCCATTCTGTTTTCCATAGTGGCTGCACCAGTTTACATTCCCACCAGCAGTGCACAAGGGTTCCCTTTCTCCACCTCCTCTCCAACACTTATTTGTCTTTTTGATAACAGCTATTCTAAGAAATGTGAGGTGGTATCTCATTGTGGTTTTGATTTTCATTTTCCCTGGTGATTAGTGATGTTGAGCACCTTTTCATTTACCCATTGGCCAGCTGTTTGGCTTCTTTGGATAAATGTCTATTCAAATCCTCTTATTTTTAAATTGGATTGTTTTTATGCTATTGAGTTGTATGAATTCTTCACATATTTTGGATATGAACCCTTCACTGTATGTATGATTTGCAAATATTTTCTCCCTTTTAGTAGGCTGTCTTTTCGTTTTGTCGATGGTTTCTTTTGCTGTGCAGAAGCTTTTTAGTTTGATGTAGTCCCAGTTATTTTTGCTCTTGTTGCCTTTGCTTTTGGCATCAAATCCAAAAAAATCATCACAAGACTGATGTCAGGGAGCTTATACTGCCTGTGTCTTCTAGGATTTTTATGGTTTCAGGCCTTATAGTCAAGTCTTTAATCCATTTTGAGTTTATTAATTTTTCCAATCCATGAGCTTGGGGTCTGTCTTTAGTTTCTTTCATCGGTGTCTGATACTTTTCAGTGTACAGTTTTTTCACCTCCTTGGTTATACTTATTCCTAGGTGTTCTATTCTTTTTGATGTAATTGTAAACGGGACTGTTTTCTTCTCTTTCTGATAGTTCGTTATTAGTGTACAGAAATGCAACAAATTTCTGTATACTAATTTTGTATCTTACAACGTAATTCATTTATTAGTAGTTATTAGTAACAGGTTTTTGGTGGAGTCTTTAGGGTTTTTTATATATAAAATCATGTAATCTGCAAATAGTGACAGTTTTATTTCTTCCTTTCCAACGTGGATGCCTTTTATTTTCTTGCCTAAGCGCTCTGGCTAGTACTTCCAATACTATGTTGAATCCATTTAAAATTTGACATAAAAATCAAAGTGGTCCCAAGAAAGAGGTTTGAAACTAAATACTGAGCACTCACTGAGTTTCTGAACCAACTCCTTCCTTTTTATGAAGCCCCATGTGAGTAATGTAGGCATTAGAAACAATCCAAAGCTACTACTGCCACCTCAAAACTTAAGAGGCTTACACGGTAATCATTTTCTCTCATGGTTTCTGTGGGTCAGGAATTTTGGAAAGGCTTTACCTGGCAATTCCGACTCAGGGCATCAGATGCACGTGCAGTTAGACAGTGGCTGGAGCTGGAATAGGAGGTTGGAATAGGGCTGGCCATGCATCTCTCTTTGCTTGTAGTTTCCAGGTCTCTCCACGTTGGTTGATTTGGGCTTCCTCATAGCATGGTGGCTTCAGGATTGTAGAACTTTTTACATGGTGGCTCAAGGACTACCAGCTTGTGTGTTCCAACAAACCAGCCGTAAGCTGTGTTGCCTTTTACAACCTAGCCTTGGATGCATATAGCATTACTTTTGTCATATTATCCAGTCACCTCTTGATTTCGAGAAAGTCAGACTTTACTGACATCTGATTAACGGCCACATCCACCCTCAAGAAGCCCATCCTGTGTGGGAGGCAAGACAAGTCCAAATGACACCAAGACAATATCAAAAGGTAAGCTGTTGCACGTAGAGGGCCATGGGAGCTCAGGGGAAAGGAAAGGCATTACGGAGGTGGCCTTTCAGCTAGTTCTTAAACCAGATTTCAACATTTTCAAGGGCATTAAGCAAGGCCCAGGAGCAACTAATGGTTGGTGAACAACAGCAAGTGATTGCTTGATTGCAAGCAGAGGTGGCTAAAGGGGAGGAATAGCAAAGAGGCCAGAAATGCGGGCCAGATCAAGGAATGCCCAACTAAGACGCTTGGAGAGGGGAAGGTAGGCAGAAAAGTAAATGTTCCTCTCCCTTCCAGACATAATTACCATAGAGATGGTGGACTTTCCTTCTCGGCAATGGCAAGACCTACCCCTGCTCCACCTCCTGAATGTGGCATTACATCAATCTCCAACTTGGACTAGTATCAGGTAACCATTAATAGCAGATTTCTGAAATACAGCTTTATCAGTCACTCGAACCATCACCTAAAATGTGATAGGTTCTGAGAGCAAATAATGAATGTGTTGATGCCTGAATGGAACACAGTCTCCTACAGGCACCTATTGTGTGGATCAGTGTGGTCCAGAACATTCTATGATGATGTAAATGTTCTATAATCTGCCCTGTGCAGTCCGAATGCTACCTAACTACATGTGGCCACAGAGCATATGAAATGGAGCTAGGGGCTAGAATTGTATTTTTAATTCTGATTGACTTAAATAGCCACCTGTGGCTACTGTACTGGCCAGCAAGGTCTAGATGAAGGACTTGACAATAGAAATATTAGCAAAGTGCTAAGGATGGCACAGATCCCAGTGTGTGCTACAGGGATTCCGAGTTAATGGGGCCAGCCACATTCATGCCATCCTGACTCAGGTTTACTGGCTGAATCCAGAGGAGTAAGGGTCTCACTAGCTTTATTTCCCAGAGAGACCCCTGCTGAAATATACTATCCAAGATCCTCCGGTAAGGGACCGTGACAAACAAGAGCCACCTGGGAGAAAATGTCTAGGGTGGTGTGGGGATTCAAAGCTCTATCTTTGGTGGGCAATAAGGGGTTAACTTTTAGCCAAGGAACTCCCTTTTCAATGGAAACTTCCACAGACTCCTACTATAGACAACAGACTCCTACTATAGACAATAGAAACTCAGAGCTATTTTAGTTCAAGGCAGGGGTTGGCACCCAGTGGCTGTGCCTCAGCCCTAGAAAGGATAAAAGGAAATTCCTCACCAACCTCACTCCCAACTGCAGCATATCTTGTGGTCAATAATGAAGCTTCATGTTTGTTTATTGTCTGAAACAGAAATTTATTCTCAGAGTAACGCACGAAAGCATAGGTTGAGGCTGCCATTGGGAGGCTTCCCCTCCCTTCCTCCGCCACCTCCCCTCCTCTTTGAATGCCAGGGACAACACAGTTGAAGGAAACATGCAATCACAAACAATGATCAACTCTAAAGACAAAAGGTTTGGTCCAAAAGAACTCAACATAATTAATCCAATTACCGTGAAGAGCTTCACTGAGTAGGATTAAGATATTGCAGATGTAGTGTTTCCACAGGGCGGCTCTTCAGTGCACCAGGGGGGCCTGCTTGAGGGAGATGAGGACAGAACGCATGCGGGAGACATCTTTGGCCTGCTTGCTGGACTTGGGGTTAAAGTCACACAGCCGGGCCACCCGCTCCCACTCAGTGCCTGGGGACGACTCTTCAATGTCATTTACAAAGGCTTCTTCTGCTGCCCTGGAAGCAACAAAAGATGTTGGTTTAATGTAGAATCCTTGGTAGCTACCTGGCAGCTGCCCTGTTATGAAAGCAACTGCCTCTTTATGCCTGACTTGATGGCATTCTGGTTTTCCAAAGAGTAACAGCCCCTGGCCCAGGTCAGACTCGGGAGCATACACATGGCCAGCTTTCCTAGGCACAGGGGGCCCGGACTGCTGTGTAAAATGTTGGAATACAGGTGTTTGGTTCAGGACTCACTCTCTCTGTTGATACAGAGAATTTAAAAAGCCAGTCCTTAGCCAGCTACTCACTGCCTTCATGAGCAAGGGCAAAGCAGCAGGCTGGCCAAGAACTTGAACAGCAGTTTATGTTGGGCTGTACTGAGTTTCAAGTAAATTTAGAGACCTCCAAAGAAGCCCACAGGTCACTGCACAATAGCCTCTGGATTTATTCCTAAGGCTGGAGAGAAATAGGGCAGCTCAAAAGGAATTCAAGACAAAGCTCCCATGCTAGCAGGCACTAGAGACTAAAGCCATTCTGGAAGGGGTTTGTTAGGACATTCTCCTCAGCCAAAAGTTTGCCATTTTCCCTCCAGCCGGGTACCATGGGCCTCTTGGGGCACTCTGGCAGGGGTGGGCGCCCAATGGCTGAGAGCCAAGCAGTGTGAACTGCTTTTTGGTAGGATGCTGCTCCAACATTTTTTCACACCAAGGTCAGCCCATCCCCAGTTGGGAGCTAACTTGTAGGAGCTACAGCCTAAAAGGACAATGCTAAGAGGAGGGAAGACACACTACTTCATCTACTCCAACAGGCATCACAGGCAAAGCGAAAGCAATGGAGATGACTGGTCTGTGGGGACAGAGGGGTGGCACTCTCACAGGGATGGCCGTGGCAAACACCGCTGAAGCCCAGAGCCACTACAACACTGCGACTTCATGGCACACACAGGGGCAGTGAGAAAGGTTTACTTAACTGTTCTAGGCTGTAGCAAGGATGGTTTATGTTTGTGCTTAAAGGTGAAGAGAAGAAAAGAAATAAGAAAAACTTTAGGTCAGATACAGAAAATGAGAATGAGCTCAATGCAGATGGTCAGTAAGCTAGACATGCCCTTGCCACTCTGTACTCTTGGGGACGTGCGGCTGGCTTTGCTGGGCCACCCTGCTGCCCAGCAAACCCAGACTTGACTTTTCCAGTCTCCATTTCTACTCCAGAGAGAATGTGCAAAAAGTAAATCCAACACCACCTGTAAGTCCAGCATTTCACAAGTCTCATTGCAAATGCACCCACGGGCCCAGGAAACCCAGCTCTATCTCCTAACGGGATGAAGGGCTCAAGGTCATGCACCGTAAGAGGCTCTACAGACCTGAGCCTGTTGTCTAGTCTTCCCACAAGTTCCTCACTTCCTTCATTCCACCCTCATCTCCCTTACATCAAAAGGCTAGTCCTAATTTTCAAGGAGGAAACAAGCAATTCAGCAATACTGCTTTGACAACAGAAATCCTTAAACCAAAACAAAACAACACTTTTCCAGAGAGGTTGCAGTTTTCTTTAGGAGGAAAAGCCACAGTGGCCTGTGTCATACAGCTCTGGCTATCTCGACCTCAAAGCTGGGGGTCTCTTTATGCCACAGTGGGGGACAGGGCATCAGAAGCTGGCCACTAAACAACAATTTCTGGTAGGAGACCACAGAGGAACAATTACAGACCCCACGGGAGACTGCCCCCTCTGCTGACTCTTCTGCCCCAACCCCACATTCTTCAAAGGAACCCAGTGTAGAAAATGCTGCTTGCACTGGTTCCTAACCCAGGGCTTCTTCCCCCTCCCCAGGTGGGGACACTCCCCCTTCCCACCTGGGGCAGGGAGGCAGCAGTGGCAGCAGCAACAAGAGGTCAGAGCCCTCCCCAGTCCCAAAGCCTTCCCAGACGAGATCACGAATGACTCACATTTTGAAAGTGAGTTAGCTTCCTTCCCTCCAAACCCCAAAATGAAAAATGGCAACCAGAGTTGCAGGGAGTCGTGGTTCTGTGAGACAATCAATGGAACATTCCCGCAGCTTATCAACTCTTAGGCAGCCCCCACAGTGCCAGTTTGAAATAATTTTAAAAGCAAAGCAACTTGTGACATAAAAGGAGCATTAACTATAAACAAAAAGTAGAAACAAGACAAGAAAAGGAATTAGTTTTGCAACATACACATAACCAATCACGTCAGCGAAGGGTTGTTTGTAGAAAGCTTCATCTGCCACCCTAGACAGCAAGAGGTCCAAAAGGCAGGCAAGCAGGCAGGAAAAAAGAGAGAACATTGAGAAGCAGAAACATCTCAAATCCACAATAGAGGCACGACTGTGCTCTGGGGAGCTGCTCCCAAGGCTCCATCCTAACTGAGTGAGGCTTCCAGCACCAGACACTCCAGCAGGTGAGGCTTCCTACTGGCCTTCCCCGCGGGATTCTCCAGGGTAAGTGCTGCCAGCTTCATCCCCAGGCCTTACCCCAGCAACCACCAGCATTTCCTAGGTACCCACTTATGGGCTGAGCCCTCTGATAGACATTGTGTCCATTTCATCCTCAACCCCAAACAACCCAGGACGCTGAGTGTTCTCCCCGCACTTTACAGATGACGTGATAGGGAAGGGAGGCCTCAAGATGAAGCAACCTGTTTGGCAACAAGTAGCAACAGGGGTGGCAGAACTCACAACCAAGGCGGTCTGGCTCTTTTCACCGTAAGTTACTGCTGCTCCCCAGCTGGTGTGCGCTCGGGAGGCCACGCCTCCTTCCCACCAGCCTCAGTAAACACCACGGGGCACAAACGCTGCCAGACACCAGGAACGCTAGGGCCCAAAGCCAGCTTAATCTTGGATTATCCGACTACTGCTTCCCCACACTGACTAGCTGGGACCAACTGCCAGTATCCTGGGAACATAGATGGTCATTTCAAAATGCCCACCTTTGAAAAAAAGAGGAGCTGGAGGCGAGCAGTGAGAAGACCTGCAGACAAGGGTCCTGGCTCTGGCGTACTGTGTGTCCCTGAACACAACCGTCAGTCCGCTCAGTCCCTGCCAGACTCATCTGCTTTGACAACGTACAGCCCAGAAGCCAGAACTTCATCCCCCCTTCACTCTCACATGGGAATGGACAAAAATGGCAACTCTGGGACAAGAAGGAAAGGGGGGCAAGCTGGGTGGACAAGTTCACAAAGCAGGGGACAGGCTGAATCCCTGGGCCCAGCCAGCCCCCCTCATCCAGCATGGGTGGGCAGGGAACCTCCCTCAATGAGTCTTACCCTCTCCTTTGCCCAGTGGGTTTGGGGCACAGGAGTGGGAGGAACCCTTTAAGGACAGTCATGCCTGGTCATTAACCTAAGCTCCCATATTTATTTGAAGGGAAATTCTAGTAATTTTATTTTTAAACTCACATACCCTTGCTTCTCTCCCATTCTGGTTTATACATAGGAGGTGTTTTGTGGAAATTTAGAGAAAGCAAAAAGAACAGCCTGATTGTAACTCCAAATAAGTCAGCAGGAAAACAGAGTAGTTTGTGGGCACAATGAGTGGGAGGGAAAGGAAAGGCAGGCCAGCTTGTAAACCCATAATCCTTTTAGTTTACACACAGGGCTAAACCTAGTCAATTTCAACTTGTGCTTGCCTCTGCTGGGAGAGAATAAAGGTTTAATGACTCCTGTTCAAAGCATTACTGAGACAACAAAAGCTTGCTGTCAGGCTTTTGCTCCTTTGCAGCTAGCCCGAGAGGAAGGAGCTGTTGGTGACAGGACAGCACAGCTCCATCGAGGCTACAGCCCCAGAACAAAAGGGAAACCACACACGAAAACTCAGCTGGCCCTTCCACCTACTTAGAGCGGACTGAAAGCAGCAATCCTCAGGCAAGGCAGGAAGGGGACTCCACACCTGGAGGGTCAGCCTGGTTTTACCAAGTACTTCGGAGCACATGCACGGCCTGAGGCAACTCGCCAAGGTAAATAGGGCCTCACAGGGTTCCTGCACCAAGCACCCATCCATCCTTCTTTAGAAATCTGAACTTGCATCTGGGGGAAATCATCCTGAATGAGCACAGGATTAAGGAACCTGGACCTGTCAGCACTTCAAACTGACCACAATCTCACAGCAGAAGCCCCGGCAGCTAACGCTACTACCCTCAGCAACTCAACCCCGACCAGAGGGCCGCCCCACCATACTTGTCACAAAACTTCAAATGGAACCTAACAGGCACGCATGCCCCATAGGAAGGTGGCCAGGACAGAGGCTCGAGGCAGTGACAGAACCAAGAATGGGCAACGGGAGACAGGTAGTCGAAGGCTGCTGCACAGTCCATCTGTTCTGCCGTAGCCGCCCCACGACAGCAGAAACTGTCTGGCAAAGAGGTTAGCTCCCTCTCTTCTGGCAGATTTCCACTTAAGAGCTGCCAGAGACAAGGGTACTTAAACCCACTCCTGCCTCTGAGAACAAGGACCCAAGGCTCTTTACCATGAAAATTACAAACAGCCCCAGGCCGAGTCTAACCTATCTTTTACACTTAAGTGGGTGGAGTGACTATGAAGTGAAAGCCAGTTCCCAGTCTCCAGTCTCACAGGGGAAGCAAGCCCATCGGCCTGTGCCCAGGTGAGCAGTGCTGCCCCCATCTCTCTTTCTGAGCTGCTTCCAAGTGAACTCTGAGCACGGAGCATTTAAAGACCACAGCTGCTGGTCGGTGGTGAAGGAGAATGACACTGTTTACTCCCTACAACTACTTAACCTTCAGTAAGTGAGTAAATTCTGAAAAGAGCATTTTTAAAAAGTCAACTCAAGATTTTCTTAGACACAGATAATAAGCACCCAGAGAACCCTTAATTCTGAAGTCACTGTGTTGGAAAATCTTGGCTACCTAATGACGAAACACACATCCCTACTACTGGACCCTTTGGGGAGCAGCCCTCAGAGGCAGGGGATGCGACATGACTGAGTCTATAATCTCCTCCAAAGTACTGAGATCCTGGAATAGTCCTGAAAGTGGCCTTTCATTCCAGGGTTACATTTTTTACACGTGGACTTGATCCCGTGAGATGACACTTCTTCTGCAGAATCATACCATTACAGGCAGTGCATACTAACCAAACTCTCAGCTGCAGAGCTAGACTCACTACAACTAGTGTGGCAAAAAAACAGGCTGAATTACTCACAAGATCCAAGAGACTTGTAACCCTTACGTTTCAAGTATATTTTTGAAAACCTGCAAAGACATTTCACACTAAAAGACGCGGCAGCTGAAAACCTACACTGGCTGGTGGAAACGGACCTGATTTTGTCTTGGCAAACGAGCTGTTCTAGAAGCAGTACGGACTGACCTGTTATTCGCTTTCGTCTTCTGTAGCTGCTCGTCCTGCCTCGCATACCACTCATCCAGCTCCTTTATTGCTTTTTCTTTCCACTCTGCTTCCTGCTTCCGAGAATTGGCATCTTTGAAGGGAAGGAAAAGAAAGACGATACAAATGAGGCGAAATGCAAATTGAAGTCCGCTTCACCGTGTATTTGGGCTTATTAATCTCATGCTGTGTGCAGGCGCATATGTGTGTTGGAGGGAGAACACTCGGGAGGGAAGATAAAATTCTCTTTTCCCTGATTGTATGTCCAGCTCTCGATCTCAGCAATTCTATCCAAAGTGTTTCACCACCATTTATCCCAGTCCACCTACACGTTAGTGGATCACTAGTTTGGGGTTTTTTTTTTGAGGTGGGGGAGAGGTGGAAATACTGACTTTTAATTTTAAAAAAGGCTTTTGGGACACCAACTGGGGAAAAAGCAATTACAGGTGATTCTTTAATGATGCTGCCAGTTCAGGGTGGACTATTCATATTAAATAATCTTTTAATAAAATCTCCTCACAAACTATATTCCACACAGGTTGGACAATTAATGGTAGATGCACAACTATGAAGCAAGGAGCTATGAGAAAAATTATCAGAGGTAGAGATGATTCCAGAAGCAGGAAACAGTAGGGTATAGATGGAATTGAGGGGAGCACAAAATATCTACTCCCGCTTAGGCCACAGAGCGAGTCTGTGGCAGAGCTAGGGCAGAACTAAAGGAGAAACTCCAATGCGGAGAACTGTGGGGGGAGAGGTGAGGGTCGTCATTAACAGCTATCCAAAAGGTTCTAGGTGAGAGAGAAAAAGCACACCTAGCAGGTGTGCCAGATTGGGTTCTCACCCACAAAGTTTCTCAGGACTAAATACGAGTTTCCCTAAGATACTAAAAGAAACTTGTCAGTAAATGGTAGAGAGAAGGAAATACAGGTCATACTTTTGCCACAGTTGACACCGGAAGTCACCCTAATACCTAAACTTTAAGCACATTCTTAAGGATGTCCTCTCTGGCAGGTGTTTTACAGACATCTCATTTAATCTTTACAACAATCCCAAGAAGGTAAACTAGTCCCATATTCAGCAGTGAGAAAAGCTACAGCTCCGCAAGTTTGAGTAACGTTCCCAAAGGTTATAATAAGTGGCAGAGCCAAGATTCACACCCAGGTCTGACTCTAAAGCTCACACATTCTTACTTCACTGTGCTGCCTCCAAAGAGAGGGACGAGGGACGGAAAGGGAGGCAGGCCCAGCAACAGTCACAGGTGTGACCAGCAGATGGGCATCAGTGATCCAGAGCCCAACCTGTAATGAGTGTCCTTGAGGAGCAAAGTACAAAGCAAACAACTTCTTGAAGGGAAGAAAGTAAGCATTCAGGGGCAATTTTAGGGCCTTTGCAAGAAAGGTCTTGTAGTAACAACCTGCAGAAGACTTTGTAACTACTAGAAATAACCTAGTAGCAGCTAGAAACTCCCGCAAACTTTCAGATTATAAAGAACTTTTTACCCTGTTATCTAACTTATCAGAAGGTGACATACTGGCTCAGGAGGAGAATTATTTCACTCAAATTTTCCACTGATGACTCAAGTATACACAGTAAACTTGTGATGTGTGTCTGTCCATGGCATTAAGTGTATGTGGAATGGAGGGTGCTGTGATGCAGGGAGAGATGCTGTGGGCCGATGGTGCCCTGCGGACAAGAAACTGAAAAAACTTTAAAGAATAAGGTCTCCTTTTCAGGAGTTGTGAAATTACTTCCAAAGAATTACTTTTTGATTGGAGAGTATTTTCTTTCTGTATAGTCTAATGATCATTTTACTGCATAAAATAGTTCCTTTAAATCGTCTTCTTTTATAAATTTATGAAGTGACACTGGCAATAAGAATTTAGAATTCTTAAACACTTAGCTTGATGGAACAAAGATCCAAGCTGTAATACAGCGTCTCTGAATCTGGGAGGGAGAAGGGAGAGGAGAGGGTGAAAAATCCTCTTAGAGAGCAGGGTACACTGACAGCTGTCTTCTCTGGCCATACGCATTAATGTTCACAGAAAATTATTGGAAAACGTAGCACACAGCTAAGCTTAAGACCATGGACATTGCTTCTCTATTTTTAGCATCTTGCACTTTCTCACAGTTCTTGCAACAGAAAAATGTGAAACTGCAGAAACACCTAATTCACGGACCAGTTTAATTCGATTCTACTGGAATGCGAGGCCAAATGTTTGACTTCCCTCAGGAAGGCAACATGAGTTAAGAAAATAGCACTTCATGGAATATTCCCAAAGGGCCCAATTTGATAACTGAAAAAGAAAATGATATTTTTCCAGACACCAAAGTGTATGCTCCTCCATGGAGAAGACAACTTTGCTAAACTTTGGGGAAAGAGAAAAGATAAAGCTGGGTTCTGCATCATGAAAAAGACTCCAGTAGTACTAATACATGCTAAGTCTTGCCTCTAAGTCTACTCAGAAGAGATGCTCAAAGAAGAACAAGCAAGGACCAAGGCTGTCTGCACCATGAATACCTATCTTCATCTTTCTAAAGCTGCACTATCCAGTACAGTGGCTACTAGCCTCATGTGGCCATTTAAATTTATTAAAATTAAATAAAATTTAAAACTCAGTTTCTCAGACATAATAGCCACATACAGTTAGTGGCTACCATACAGAACAGCACAGATATAGAACATTTCCATCATCAAAGAAACTACTATTGGATACTGCTGTAAAGGTTAAACGTAAGTGTGCCCTCTGTTCTGAAAGCCACAGAAACTGGGCTGGACAGACACTAATTGGCTGTATTATCTGGGTCAATTCCTTTCCTATTTCTAGGTGTCCTTTCCTATTTCTACACCATCTAAGTCATGTTTTCACTAGTTCAGCGATTCTCAAGAAGGAGTAATAATGCTGACACTGTGGTAATATAGAAGCATGTTGCTATTTCTAGTTGTACAATAAAATATTTAGGCATGATGTATGTGGTGGTGTCTATATCTTAAAGTGAATCAGGAAAAAAATTATGTGTATATTCACAATACACATATAAATGTATGCACATGTTGAGTGTATAAAACATACACATACATGCCTCATTTATACAAAGACAACCCAATATGGCAAAATGTTCATTACTGAATCTGGAGGAAGGGGCACACATGTTTGTTTTACTCTATTCTGTGTCTGAAATTTTAATAAAAAATTGAGAAAAGAATACCCTCTGGATAACACCCCCCCCCCACCTCTGCCACACCTTTCCAACCCACATGTACAGATACCAAGTCTCTCCCGATCTTGACCAACAGCTGACACTCCATGGAGAAGGCTCTTCAGCAAAGGCCAGGCTGGCTAGCACTGATTCTCAGGCTCAGCCTGCCCCTCAAGATGGCGTACACTAAATGCAATGCGGCTGAAGGGATGGGTATGGATTCTGAAGCAGAGCAGACTTAAGCTGAAATTCTGACTCCACCACTTATAGCCGTGGTGATCCAAAAACTTACTCTTCCTCTGATCCTCACTTTCCTCACCCATAAAAAGTAAAAACTTACAGGAATATTAGGGTAAGAAAACCAAATTGTACATATTACCTAACATCTTTCACATTTTCCTCTCAAGCATTACTTTAAATCCAGCCTTCAAATGGTAAATGGACTGTGCAGTCCCTCACATGGATATGATACCTTCAGGTTTACAAAGCACTCTCATAAATACCATCTCAGACTACCCTTGGGGTTAATAACACTGATCTTACTTCACAGATGAAACAGATTCTGTAAGGTTTGAGCAACCAAGTGCCCACAGCTGATAAGTTACCGCAGGGCCTGGAGCCCAGTCTTTCACTCCAAGTCCAAGGCTCTTTCCACAGCACCACTCTGCCCTTCCTGAGAGGAGAGATGCACTGTGGCTCTCCGGGCTGCCCGAATCCTCACACAGCGGCCTGTGATTAAGCATCTCCATGTGGTGGCCTTGTGACCTTGTTGGGAAAGATACCTTCCCCAAAACTGTACAAGAACATTATGGCTAATTCATGTTAAAAAGGGATAAAAGTAGAGTCAAGGTCAACTATTCCACTGAAAACAGATACCCAAAGACAGAAAGGGATTCCTTACCAAGGGCTTCCAAGCGTTCCGTTTGCTCTTCTCTCCATTTACGGATACTTTCAGGCTCTGACTGCAATCGATCCACTTGTGAAATAGCTGCATAGCTGTCTGTTGGCCCATTACTCTCCTTAACACAAAACACAGTTGTGCTCTATCAGTACCAAAACCTCCTCCCAGAAATGCGCTTCACCCAAGTTAGAACCGCTGTTTATGTGCAACACTGATGGCTGTGGTAAATGTAAAGGATTACCTTACGAGCACCACCACCACCTTACGTGCCAATAGGGAGCTTTCAACATTATGCACTCAATCCTTGCAATCCACAAGGGAGCCTGAGTAGTTCTTATCCTGTTAATAAATGGGACTTGAGTGGGAGATGGGAAAGCTGGGGAAGTGAGTAATGGACTTACTAGGAAACAGTGTGATCAGTTTTATTTTCCTTACTTGACACAGAGATTGTGATATCTTCAAAGTAACAAAGGTAAATACACAGCACGGCAAGGCCTAGAATCTGACACTTCTAAATGTTATTATACAATACAGGGAAAAGTACACTTCATACCACCTAATCAAAATATAGTGAATTCTAGGAAAAAGAGAGTCCAAAAGAAAATGTCTAGTTACTACAGTCACACCAAAGAAAATAAAAAGGCAGGCCAATGTGAGTCACAGCGTATGGGGAGGGGAGGGAGACACACAGGTTCTTTATAGTGGTTAAGATTTGGAAGCTAATAAATAAATTGATAAAGATTCAAAAAGAATCTAATCTTTATAGAATTATCTCACCTACTGAACTAGGGAATATTACCAGCTTAACCAGACTATAAACAAAAATGGAAAGAAAATTATTTACAGTAGTATTAGTAACTAACTTATTGTTAGTACTTTCCATGTTTCAGCCACATAAAAGCTTTATCTCCCAAACACCTTACAAGTCAAATTTTTATTCCCATGTCAGCAGTTGGGGGATTAAACTGAGGCGCAGAGAAATGACATGTCCAAATTCACAGCTAGTAAGGGATAAAGCCAGGACTGAACCCCATTCCATCTCACTCTAAAGACCAAGCTCTAAACCAGGGACTGGAAACTATAGCCAGCTCAGCCACCTGTTTTTGTAATTAAATTTTACTGAAACAGAGCTATGCCCATTCGTTTACATACTGTCTACAGATGCCTTCATGTTACAGCAACAGAATAGGTTGACAGAGACCTTATGACCCACAAAGCTTAAAATGTTTACTATCTGGTCCTTTACAGCAAAAGTTAGTCCACCTTTGGCTTAAACCAATTAGACTAATCTCATCCTTCCTGACAGTTAACTGGTTGAAGGGTGGGCAGAAACCCAGGCAGAAGCAAAGCACCACGCTATTTCCCCAGGCTACAGTGATTACTTCCATCTGGTCAAGAGGGAAACACAGGACTTTTGTTGAGTGGCTGGGAGAAACCTCCATGTTGTTCTAGATAGTATGACATGCACATGTGAGACCCAGAAGTGCTGTAGCCATTCTGCCACCGTGAAAGAGTATAAAACTGCACACTCAGCTGGCAGAACCAGAGTCCTAGAGGAACTGAGTCGGAATCCAGGTCCGAGGACCCCTAGCCTATCTCAGAGTTCTTTCAATTATATGAGCTAGTGAATTCTCTCTATTTAAGCCAATGCAAGTTGGGCTGGTGACCAAAAACTCAGTGATACAGAGGGAAAATAATGGTAGTTGTCACAAATACCAGCCACCCCCCACCCTCAAGACAATCTAAAAGCTGAAAAGTTCCAATGCTGCCCCACCACATACTACCTTTGTTACTTTTAGACTCCTGGTTTAACCTCTGTATGCCTCAGTTTATTCATCTGTAAATGGGAATAACAATAGTTCAGGTCCCTCAGATTGTTGTGAGAATTAAAGAAAATTCAATATAAACAGTGCTTGACACTACATGGCACAGTGTTTAAATCAGCCACCAGGGCTTCCCTAATGGCACAGTGGTTGAGAGTCTGCCTGCCGATGCAGGGGACACGGGTTCGTGCCCCGGTCCAGGAAGATCCCACATGCCGTGGAGAGGCTAGGCCCGTGAGCCATGGCCGCTGAGCCTGCGCGTCCAGAGCCTGTGCTCTGCTGCGGGAGAGGCCACAACGGTGAGAGGCCCGTGTACCGCAAAAAAAAAAAAAAAAAAAAAAAAAAATCAGCCACCACTGCCACTGCCACCACCACTGCCATCATCATGAAGGGTCATTTCTTGAGAATAAAGTTGGTAACACTAGGGTCAGGTCAATCACATTTTAAAAGACTACTCTATCAATGTTACCTCTCTTCAAATCCTTCCACTTTGGCAGGTAACATACCAGTAACTAATACATCCAGGAAAGTCAAAGGAGTGGGATCCTTTCCAGGTCAGTCAATTCAAATCACAGGAAAGGAAGACTCTCAACACTATCATGCATCATAATCAGAGTACTCTGTACCTGGTAGTATTCGCCATTCATGATTCCTTCAACAGCATCTGCAAGACATAAGATTTCAATCTGTCAATCAGGGCTGGTCATATGCTGGGCCAAAGGGTTACAGAGTATGACACAGTGCTGTAAGTACTCTAAGTTACTATCCCTGTGCTAGGTACCAGATAAATAATGGACAACTTTCTATTTAATGAAATCAAGATGTGCTTACACAAATGACTTCACCAAAATGTGGACAAATCTGTCCAAAAGCTTTTGATAATTGTCTTCTAGCTTAGAGATAACACTTAGAAGCCCGGCAGAAGAGCCTCACAGAGCAACAGTTTCTCTATCAAAGTTCTAAAGAAGGCAAAGGATAAGGGTGGCCCGGAATCCTTCACAGCGAGCAGAGATATGCAGCTTCATATTTAAACCAAGGTGCTTTCTTGGGGTCAGGACTCTCCATCCTTTGGCTAGAACAGGTTTGGCACCTGAGGGTCTACACTTGCGACTTCTTACTAATTCCTCTAGTCTACTTGGAATTAGTCCAGAACAGTAAGCTTTGGGCATACCAAATTAAATTAGTGTTTTCAAGGATGCAAGTTACAAAAACTCAAATTGTATACAATCTGATCTTATTGGCACAATTAATTGTTCATGAGCTAAATGAGAAAGTCCATCTCAGAAATATGAAAAATGTCTAAGACTCAGAGATTATCAATCCATACAGTTCAAAATGGTGGTCCACAGGCTGAACATATTTTATTTAAAATACAAAGCACTAAATCAGGAAATTTCACAAAATCAGGATTCCCAGTGTGTGTGTGTGGGTGTGCAGACAGAAGATCTGGCAACACTGGGCCTGCATTCCTAAATGAAGGCAGGCTTTACGTGCAGCATGCTCTGGACAATTTGCCAGTCCCCACTAGCCCCATTTTTTTTTTTTTTAACCCATTCTGTGTGTCACTAATTCAGTTACCTGACTGGCCCAATAAGCATGTGTTTCTAACCCATGCCCTGACCCAACAGCCGCCACTGATACAGCCTGTACCAGGCTGCACACCAGCCCTTTGGAGTGGCTGCTCTGCCTCCCCTTAAAAGCTTCAATACAGGCACCATAAAAATGCAGCGTCCACCTACATATTCTACGTATTCTCTATCTGTTGGCTGACCCGTATTTACTGCCTACTATGTAGGACTTACAGTATTTTGTCCAATTGTTTTCAAACTATGATGACCATGTTATTGCATGGGATGGGAGAGGGAAGAGGAGAAAAGAGATGAACCTAAAAGATATAAGAACCCAAGTAGTGAAAGGAATGCAGAGCAGCTAGTGTGGGCCACCATCACAAGGCCCTCAGAAACATCAGAGGTTTTCCTAGAAGCCAGAGGCAGGGTGCTCTCAGTCGCATTCTTTCCTTTGAACAGGCAAAGATTTCATCAAACCACTCCAGTTTTCTTGGTTCCTAACTAATTAAACCCAACTTGAACCGCCTATTTTCCAAATCAACCTCGTTCTCTTGCTTCTCCCAACTACCCTCCTCTTAGCTTTGGGAGTACTGAAAACTTTCATTTCCCCAGCATGCCTCCCTGATACCAAAACATTGTTTTAAAAAAAAGGAAAATGGAGACAGAAGAAAATGCCACATAATTTCATTACTCAGCCTATTGGTTTCTATTTTTTTACTTTATCTAATGCATACACATAAAATTTCTTCCCGCAAAATGACTCCTATAACAGATGCTTTTTAGTAATCCATTCATATATATCATTAAATTCTCAACTTTTTTAGTATGAAAACACCTACTACTTACTGCTTCCAATGTGCCAGGCACAATGTTAAACACTTTCTATACATTAAGTTTAATCCTCACAACAAATCTGTATGTATCAGCACTTCACAAACGACCTTAAAATACATGTAGGGTTGGTTCCTTGAGAGGTAAGTAAGGTGTTCTTGAAGGGGCAGATAACTAATGACAGTATTTTCACTCTTAAATTTATTTTTTATGTTTAAGATATATAAGAAAAACATTAAATGCATGTATCATGAGATAATCAGCATTTAAAAAGTGGTGCAATACCTGGGCAAGCAAGAAGTCAGAGGAAGGATCATCAGATAACCTGAGGCATGAAGACAAACCACAGGATCTAAGCACTTACCAACCCATCACAGCTCTGATCCATGTTTCACTTGCTGGTTATCTATCAATCATTTCAACATATTTCTCGTACTTTTCTTAATTTCCTTACTTGTTTTACTCCTATGCTTTATTTATAAAAGTACAAAAATGAGTTTCTTGTAGTTTTTGTTAGTGGCTTTTTTCTACTTTAAGCTGTTTCTGTGCCACCTATCCCTATCATTTTTAAAATATTCTATCAAGTTTTGAAAATGTAAATTTAGCAAAAAACTAATAAAAGTATTTGCAGGGGGCATATTCAATCCTTCCTCAGCAATAAATTTCTTGACATAGAACTGATGGATCACAGAATATATATTCTAAAGACCTCTAAACACCAGACATTTGCTCCCTTTGGTCCACCATTTGTATTTCCAGCATCGCCACGAGTGCCCCATTTTTCAGACCTTCATTGCTACTAGAGACTGAGTTTTAGCGTGTTTTAAAATTTTTGCTAATCTGATAGCAGGAAAAAAAACCTTCAGGTGGCTTTGTTGTGCCAGTCTTCTGTGAGGTGATCACCTGACATTTGATTTTCTTCTTTACTAAACTGCCTGAGTTTTGCCCATTTTTCTGCAATCTTTTGATTTCTAAGTATTCTTTCTGTATTATTTGTTTTCTCACATTGCAAATATTTTCCCCATTATCTTTTTGTATGGTTTACAATAGTTAATGCCTAGAACTACTTAACTTGTATGAGACACTATCAGGTTTTTTTTCCTTTATGATTTCTCTGTCTGCATTTATGATGAAGGCCTTTCCTACTCTAAGATAAACATTCACTTTTCTTCTGGTACTTAAAAAAGAAAAAAAAAGCCTCTCTTTAATCCACCTGGAATTTATTTTTTTTGAGTAAAATTTAAAAAGTGAGATACGGGACACGGGTTCGAGCCCTGGTCCGGGAAGATCCCACATGCTGCGGAGCAACTAAGCCCATGTGCCACAACTACTGAGCCTGCGCTCTAGAGCCCGAGAGCCACAACTGCTGAAGCCCGCATGCCTAGAGCCCATGCTCCACAACAAGAGAAGCCACCACAATAAGAAGCCTGTGCACCGCAACAAAGAGTAGCCCCTGCTCACCACAACTAGAGAAAGCCCATGTGCAGCAACGAAGACCCAACGCAGCCATAAATAAGTAAGTAAATACTATTTTAAAAAGTGAGATAATTTTAAATCTTCGGGCCTACAATGGCTAGTCTGGCCAGGCCTACGTTTTGGTTAATATATTACAACTAACACACCAACTATCCAGTTAATATTTATTTCAACCCAGGGCCACTGTCAGTAGGAGAGACCTTGGTCACTACCCCAGACACAACATCAGAAGCAATTCTCATCCCATAGCTCTTTCTAAGTCGCATGTTGCCTGTCCTTTAGGTCTGAAGACTCATCCAGACTCACTGGCAAGTGCTTTGAGCTTTTATTAGTTACTGTACTACTGTACTGACATTCAACTGGCTCAAATCAAAGGATCATCTGTTGCTATAGAAACATGTAGAAGAAAGGCCACGCAGGGCCTTGATTTATTAGGACAACTAAGCTAACCAACTTGATGCCCCAGAAGGAAACTTTCTAGGGCATCTCTAGAACTCCAGACACAAACAAGGGCCAGAGTAAGTTTCCAGAGATGAAAGACTCTTTATCCCAAACCCACCTTCAACTTCCCATGTTCCCCAACCAATGGAAGTCAAGCAGACCTGGGTCTGAATTCCTGTGGAGTCATGCATTAGCTTGCCACTTTAGGAACCTGGCTTAACTTCCACAACCATCAGTTCTCACCTGAAACAGGATGACACTACCACTCTGCCTGCAGTTACTGCATGGATCTGAAAGTACACAGAGAACCTGGGGCACAGCAAATGTGCAGTATCACTAAGGATCATGCATGCAATTTCCCCGAACTTCCCTCTGCTACCAAGAAAATTACTCTCCACCTCCAGAAAGCTTTCCTTTATGTACCTCTCTTCCTTTGATGAGTGCCTCACTGCCATACTCTCTCAGTAGCTCCTTAATCACCTCTCTTAGCCTCCTCCATCCTCAGCCCTCATGATTGAGGGCTTTTCCTCGGCTCTAGACTCGAGCTGCCTCTTTCCTGACCGTTTGTTCTTACTCAGTATCCCCAAGCCACTTCACTCAGCTGGTTACCTCCCACCTCTAAACTAATGTTCTTCTCCGGATGTCCTAACAACTGAGGGCGCCATCCAAGGCTCAGGCCTAGCCCCTCCTCCATGGGAGTCTTCCCCAAGGCTGGGAGAGTTTAGGTATGTTCCTCTCTCCTCTCTCCTGCCTATATATCTCTGTACGGTAACACATCAGATACAGAGCTCCCTCGTAAAAGCTGTGTCTTCAGCACACCCCAAAGCCTATAGGCTTTGTAACACCTTTCTCACCTCACTCCCAAGTAATAATAGGCAGGGACTGTGTGTAGTCATAACATACCAGGTTCTGTGTGTAAGCACTTTATGGGTGCTCTCCAATATAATCCTAGCAATCCTGTGTGGTGAGTATCCGCACCTTTTACAGAGAAGAAAACTGAGGCAGGGCAGTGGCAGCGATGGGTATGTAAGTTGTCTGAGACCACAAAGCTAAACTCACATTCAAGCAGTCTAGGACAGCACAGAATCTTAACCCCTAGAGAGAGAGAAGAAAAGAGAAAAAGAAAGAAGATAAAGTGTCCAACTAGTGCTCTAATCCTCAAAGGAAGTGCTGAGCATTGCACTATTTTTTTTCTGACCACTGCACTATTACCAACCTCAACTACACTGTCAGAGATCTGGCTTTAAGTCACTAAATGCTTAGTTCACTAAGAAAGTCCTTCCTAGGAACTAAGTCAGCAATTATCCCTTCCTTCCCTTTGCTGAAAGCTTGATGCAGAAGGGATCTGTGTGTCCAGCTCTATTCTTTCCCTTTTACCCCTCCCATCACCAAGATCTGCTGGTTCTATACAGGACCCCTGTACCTGACATTTTTGCACATTCCTTTGTACCTACTGTGTGCCGGACACCCTGCTAGACACCAGGGATACAACAGTGAGCAAGAGTCAACACTGTCCTTCAATCAGGACAGTCTTCTATGAGTCCTGATACCCTCAACTGTCCTCCCCAGGGCAACCACAACTGCCTTTCAGAAATGACAATCTCTTATCCCACGCCACCCCTGCTTAAACAACTGCAACAGACTATGGCACAGTCTAAGGTGGGGGGACTTGGCGCTCAGCTATTAACTTGCCCTTTTTTCTTAAGCAAGTCGTTTCTCTGCAGGACTCAGTTTTCTCCTTCTATTCAATGAGTGAGATAAACGAAGAATCTAAAAATATTACCATTCTCAGGCAAATGCTGAAGACCTCCCGACAACAACAAAGAAACCCTAATCACCTAAAGCCAAATTCATTTTCCGGCCACAGCCTAGTTCAGCCCAACCTGCTTGCTATAAATTGCATTTTCAGGTATACTACCCATTCTCCTGTAGATTCTTATTGGGCAACTGATTTGCTCAGGAGGCAGCATGATGTAGTATAAAAATTCAGGCTGCAAACTAGCGGTCTCCCCACCCCCACTCCCCAAATAGGTTCTGCTTGGCTGAAGACTTGAGATTTCGGAGTCCGAACGGTTTTACGAAGACCACTCACTACTCTAGTGCACCAAAGCCGCAGTCTCCAATACTCCTTATTACCTCACAGCCCGCATGTTTCTCTCATTTATGTTACCTGCCTGGCCCCTTAAGGTCTGAGTTTAGGGTAGCATAAACACCTCTATCTGTCCCACCTGTACCTTGTTCTCCCTTAGCTGGAAAGTTTTTTAAAGAAATGAAAAGCCGCGTCCCGTTTCTTCTAGCTCATTTCCTACTTCCCTATACGATTAAAAAGGTCTCTTAGACTCATCCTTTCCTCCTACCGCCACAATCCAAAGCACTGCACACAGGTAAGGCATTCAGAAGTCAGACTGGCAGCCTGCCACGTGCTCGCTTTCTCTTTTTTGCTGGAGCTTGGCTGGGGAAAGGCCACACTACTTTTTTCCTTCACCTCATGGAAGACCGATCCAGGCTAATCTCAGGTTCTGCTTAGGCAACACTGCCTACCAAAGCTCTTCCCAGAGGAAGGAGAGCTCCAGAAGTCCTAGCAGTGATACCTTCCACAAGCGGTAAAACTCTTGCCCTCTTTGGCCACAGTTTCTCCAGGGCTAAACCATCTTTCTCGCGTTCCCTATTCATTCCTCCTTCCCCCACCCCAACATTCTGTACACCTTAAGTGCTGAAACACTGAACTGCATTGCCATTTTCGTTTCTGTCTCGAAAACGATACCACGATTCTTTTTTTTTTTTTCCCGGCCTTCCTTCCTACTAACTGGTCTGTGTTAGGCTCAGACTGGCCTGTAAGTCTGGCCAAAGTGCGCCAATGCGGCTGTGCCTCTGAGGCCAGGCTCAAGGCACAGCAAATGCTCAATGAAAGATACCTGCATTGAACGGGCTTCTTCGGGCTCCTCAGCTTATCCTATTTTCTTGACTTTTTCCCCCGCCCGTGCCCGGGAGCGCTCAAACACATTCACAGAACGGACCAGGCTTGCCGAGCCTGCGTTTCTGCATGACTGAGCCGGGGTCCCGTTTCCTTTTTGCTTCACCTCTCGCTCAGCGAGGTACAAGACTTACACGGAGCTTCTCAGACCCGCTCCGGGCCGAGTTTCCGGACAAGTGCTCCCGCCCCGAACGCGCCCGCACTCACCCGGACCCCCCGGCGGCTCGCCGTGCGGCTGGGGCCCGTGGGCGCCGCCGTCCAGGATAGCGAAGGCCTCGTCGTTCTCTATGCCCGCAATCTCGCTCTCCTGCTGCGCCAAAAAGGCCGCGGCAGGGTCCTCTTCGCCGGCCACTCCGTTCCCCAGCGCGGGGCCGCTAGCGTGGGCGCCGAATGGATCTAACTCAGCCATGGCGGGCAGTTCAACAGCACGGTCACCGACGTTGAGAGACACACCAACCGACCAGCCAACTCCGCGCCCGGCAGCGGCCGCTGTGGTGGCGACGGATATCAAGCGGGAGGAGGGAGAAGACGGAAGCGGAAACCCTGCCCCAATATCCGGTCGGTCTGGGCTCTGTTGGAGAGCCGAAAAGGTAATAACCAATCAGAGGACAGAAGTGGTTCAAGAGCTAACCAATCAGCCGGAGGAGGGTTGGGCCCCCGAGTGAAGCTCGTGACTCGGGAAACACCTGCGAGGAGGGTGCCGAGGACGGCCGGCCCCCGGCAGGCGGAAGTGCTGCGTGACTTAAAGTAGCTTTGCCTGACCCGCCTTTGTGGCTGGACCGACCCGGGACCGCCACCTCACAGAGGACTCTGAACCGGGAAGTGAGGTGAAGTTAGGGCGGCGATGATTGGCCGATTGCAGAAGAGTCAAGCCACTTAGGCTTTCTGAATCTCAGTTTCCTCATTTGTAAACTGGGAACAAGAATACTGCACTATCTCCCTCCCAGGATTACTGGGAAAACTGACTCCTTTTACGGCTGTGTACTGGCTTTCTAAAAAAATTTTTGTTAACCCATTGACCCAGTCTGGGTTGTTTTCTCCCCTAGAGCCGCCTGACTTAAATGTAATCAATTCAAATACACTCTGACATTTCTCCCCTATAGTATTGTTATAAAAAGGCGAATATATCTCCTTATACAAAGCCCTTTTGCAGCCAGTACTCTTTTCAGAGCTCGACAGAAGTTTCTAGGGCTGAAAAATTCCTTAAGGATCATCGGGTTCGTAGGGAAGCTGAGGCCCCCATGAGGGGTCAGTCCCACAGGGAGTCAGTGGCCAAGAGGAAACCCTGGTCTCCTGGGCAATCCCGAATGGTACTAGCCACAACATCTTATATGTGCGCACCCTTCCCACCTAAGGACAGCAGGAACTTGCTTAGAAAACAAAGTGCTGTCAGTATTTCTTTTAAATCAGGGACATGTTAATAACATGGCTAGTTAATTTTGTCTACACCCTAGGGAGGATAATGCAGTGATTCCAGTTTCTCGTGCTCATGTTGAGGAGGGGCTTATCCACTGGCCAAAAGAAGGACCTTTCTCCTTCACCACCACCACCCTAAAAAGTCGAAAACAGAAACAAACCAAAAGAACCAGCCAGAGGTCAAAGTTGCCTCCAGAGGTAGTCAGCAAGGGACAAGAAAGTGGGTCCTAAAAATATACACTAATCTTTGTTGACACAAAAGGGTAATTGCTTCCTTAAAGCATGTATTTACCTTTAAAGTCGTTTAAAGTATGAAGTGTAGGAAAGTTTTGAAGAAAATCATTTAAGAAATTTAAAATTTTAGGGCCTGCACCTGACTCAGTTTCCCCCCTGTTTTTGTTTTAATGCTCATCCCTAACATAAATGGACTCATCCCTAACAGAAATTGGCAACAATGCATGAAGTAGTTTCACATTCCTCTTCTCTTTGAAACAATATATCCTGCCCCTGTTAGGAGGATAAGGGACGGGGACTACCCTGAGAGGGCCCAAGGAAGACAACTTTTGGTTGCTCACAGCAGTAGTAGCTGAGGGACAGAGAGCATTCTCTCGGGGGCAAGCGCATTAACTCTGGGGAAGCTGTCCTGAGAGTCACTTGCTAGAGGGGGCACCATCTCTCATCATGCAAAATCAGCAAGTGTTTATTCACTCAAAATTGAGGAAATCAGCTCGTCGTTTAGGGATGACTTCACAGGGGAGGTGGCTTGGAGTTCAGTTATGATATTTGGGTAAGGTTTAGAAGAGTTACTCCTGGCGCCCTAATGTTACAATTGTGCAAGGTTTCATAGCTTGGCATGTCTGGGGGACAGAGAGTAAATTAGTTTGGCTGGGCCTGAAGGGCTTAAGTAGAGGAATAATTGAAGGTAAATATGGAGACATATGCTGGGGTCTTGAATGCAGTCCATGCTAAAGAGGCTTATTAGCAATAGGAAATTATGGAAGGTTCCAGAAAAAGGAATGCTTTGATCAAAGTGCTGCTTAGGAGGTTAATCTGATCCCTGGGTGCAGGATGGATGGGAACAGAGGCTGTGGGAAAGAAGTTGAGGAATGGCATGATGAAGGTCCAGGCAGGGCAGTGATGTGGACTTCGATGATCTGGGGAGCACTGATGGGAAGTCCCTACCTACCACAAGAGGTAGGGACTGGGAGAGTTGCAGGGGGAAAGGATGAGATCATAAATCATACCTGAAATCACCAAAGCCACTAGTTTATGCTCTCTGGGGGAGTTCCAGTAATTGCCAGGAGACAGAGAAGATGATTTAGGTGATATCCAGAAGGTGGCTAGAAGTATACACAAGGAGGGGAGCTCCTGGCTGGAGTGGGAGAGATGGGGAGAGGGAAGTACTGGGTGACACAGCTGGGAAGAACCCTTGGTTCTAGGGAGAGGCAGAGATTGGACTGTGCAGGGTCTTTCCTCAGCACTCTGCCAGAGCCAGACCAAGGGCCACACAGTGACGTCTGATGGGTCTTGGTTGAGAGGTTAAGACACAGACCCTACTCTCTAAAGCCAAAAAGTATCTGATCCAGAAGAAGGGTGGTAAGAAATGCACACAAATTACTCTAAGATAGGTGCAAATGGTGATGTGGTATGGGTGTGGAGAGGGCAGTGGTGAGCAAGCAAGAACTGAAAAGACGGAAGGGAGGCAAGTCATATTTGGTTGAGAAGTCCTAGAAAAGTTTCATACGGGAGATAAGTGCAGTGTCTATCTCTCATAGCTTGGCATGTTTGGGGGACAGAGAGTAAATTAGTTTGGCTGGGCCTGAAGGGCTTACTAGAGGAATAATTGAAGGTAGATCTGCTGGGGTGAGGGCAGGGGCCATGTATGCCTTACTTATCTTTGTATTCTTAGGGTCTAGCATTATACCTGGCACATAGCAAGTGTTCAATAAACATTTGTTGCTGGAATGGAGTGGCATTTGAGATGGATCTCAAAGGAGAAGGGTTGTGAGATATATATGATGGAGAGGAAGAAAGGCAGGCTGTGCTCTGGGAAGTGATTTGGCTAGGTGATGGAAGATCAGGAAAGTAAATGGATACAGCTGAAGAAAGTGTGTTGGAGTCAAATCATGGAGCACTTGAGAGCCCAGGTGAGGATTATTACTACATTTGCAGAAGCTGTGGGGAGCCTTTGACGGATCTTACCTGGCCAATGACTCTGTCAGAACCCTGTTCTGGAAGAATCTTCTGGCAGCTCAGGCAGTTAGCATGGCAGAGGGTTCTAAAAACAGGGAGGACAGTTAGGAAAGACTGCTGCAGGGGTTCAGGAGGGAGATGCAGGGGGCCAAGGATGATATTCTAGGAAACAGCAGTGGGCTCAGGTGGAAGGAAAATAATGGAGGTAATATACATAATATAATACTTGTAAGTAATAGCAGAGAGAGGAGGCACAGAGAGAGAAAGGAGATTCACAGATAACTTTTATAGCTTGTGAAACCATGAACAGAAATAGCCACAACAGGAAAAGCCGGTTGTGTGGAATGGAAGGAGATGAGGCAAATGAAGAGTTCAGTGTGGACATATTGAGCATGAGGGACCTGTGGGATATTCAGGAAACATTCCAAAGGATATTGGAAATCTAAGTCTGAAGTTCAGGAGAGAGGAGGATCTAATTCCAGCAATGGTGGGCAAGTTGTTCTGGGCCAACTCTTCTGCTGAAAACAGCTAGAAGATCTGGGCAAAAAGTTTTAAAAATCTCTTTGAAGGCATCAGAGGACTACCAAAGCAGTGAGGAATTGTGGGCCAAAGTTCTAGAAGGGAAGGGAAACCAAGAAAAGTGAGCCTAACATTTGGAGCCATTTTTCCTCTCAAGGAGACTGTTAGTTGTAAAAGCAGAGGCTGAGAAGCTGAATAGTTGAGGGCCTACCAAGAAGAAGGGGCCCTGATAAATGTACCAGGCTTTTTGTTGGGACCCCAAAGGGCTACCTACTAGGAATAAAGGGGGAAAAGGTCTTGACTGAATAAAATCGATCCAGGCTTTCTAGTGCCCTTACCTTAGAGCTGCCTGCCAAAAGCAAGAGTAAATTCTCTCTGACAGAAGAAAATTTCATCCAAAAATAAATAAGCACGAAAAGACAAAACATGTTCAGAAATATTTTCAAGGACAGGCATACGATAGAAATTCCAGAGGATTCAGATAATGGAGTTATCAGACCTAGACTTTAAACTAGCTATGATTAAAGACTTCAAGGAATTAAAATAATGAGAATTTCAGCAGTTCAAAATTTTGAGAACTAAAATTTACAGTATCTGATATTAAGAGTTCAATGGAGAGGTTTAATAGTGGATTAGACATAGCTGAAAAGAGAATTAGTGAACCAGAAGACAGAGCAGAAAAATATCCAAGCAGAAACAGAATCAAAAGGATGAAAACCACAGAAAAGAGCATAAAAAACATGGGATATGAGGGACAGGTTTTATAATGTAATTTTAACAAGGAGAGGACTTCCCTGGTGGTGCAGTGGTTAAGAATCTGCCTGCCAATGCATGGGACACAGGTTCAAGCTCTGGTCTGGGAAGATCCCACATGCCGCAGAGCAACTAAGCCCGTGCGCCACAACTACTGAGCCTGTGCTCTAGAGCCCGTGAACCACAATTACTGAGCCCGCATGCCACGCCCACTGAAGCCCACACGCCTAGAGCCTGTGCTCCACAACAAGAGAAGCCACCACAATGAGAAGCCCACGCACCACAACAAAGAGTAGCCCCCCGCTCACTACAACTAGAGAAAGCCCACACGCAGCAACGAAGACCCAACACAGCCAAAAATAAATAACTAAATTAATTAATTTAAAAAAAATTCAGCAAGGAGAGTAGAGAAAGAATGGAGCAATGTTGGAAGAGAAAATGGCTAAGAATTTCCCAAAATTGGTAAAGGAAATCAAACCACAGATTTAAGAGAATCACCATGAACTCCAAACAAGATAAAAAGAAAAAAAACCAAAAACGCTCCCTAAAAGAACTGTTTAAAATCTACATGCCTCTTGTGCATTTTAAAATTGACATCTAATTTTTTTCATAACTTAATTAGTTGTAAGGGATATAATTTCTCATATCTTGTAATAGTGATCCTTTCAAATAAAATCGTTGCATTGCTCTTTTAAATGTATCTGGTAGCATCTAAAT